TATATTACTAAAATAATAAATAAGCTTAATTATTATAAATATAAAAAATAAACTATACTAACTATAAATAGTAAAAAGAGAACGAGTTAACTATAATTATAATATATTAATAGGAGACTATATACCTCTCGATATTTATTAATAATTAATAAAAATAACTATAATATAATATTATAGAGATTAGAATATAACGTTATTTAAAATCTTATAGTTATAAAAGCATAACCTATAAATAGATTAGATTACTAGCTAGGTTTATAAAAAATCTAGTTACTAAACTATTTAAAAAAAAAAGGGTTTAAATAGATTTTTAAAACTCTTAAAAATAAAAATAAATATAATATATAGCTTTTATTAAAACGGTAAAAAGCTCTAAAAAGTTTATAGTTAATACCGACGATAAGGATGTAACGACTTTAAATTATACCGAGGAGTACTAAATATATATAAAATATTTATAAAACCTAAAGAAATAGGATTACTAGAATATAGTAACTAAGATATAAAATTAAATTTAAAAAAAGAACGTAACCTAGGTTCTATTTAATATATTTAATAAATTAAAAAAATAAAAATATTTTAACGAATATATCGATAAAAAACTTAAAAAGGATATATTTAACCGTTAAATTCTTTATAAATTACCCCTATTCTTTATATTAAAAAAAGGATAAAAAAACGAAGACCTTTATTAACTATAAAAAACTTAACGAAATTATAAAAAAGAATTACTATCCTTTATTATTTATTACCGAACTTAGAGATTTATTATATAGAGCTAACTAGTTTATTATATAGATTTTAAAAAAATATTTAACTAAATCCGAATTAAAAAAAGATAAATAAAAATAGTATTTAACTTGTAAAGGACTTTTAAATATCTAGTTATACCCTTTCGGATTTATTAACGTATTAATAACCTTTTAAATAATAGTTAACTATATATTTAAGAGTACGTCGATATCTTTATTATTATTTATATTAATAATATCTTTATCTTCTCCCCTAACCTCGAAATATATAAAAAGTATATTTATATAGTATTTTAGAAGCTCTAGGATACTAAACTATATACCGAACTATTTAAATATAAGTTTTACGCTTAAAGAGTAGATTTTTTAAAATATACTATTATACTAAAATAAATCTATATATAAATATTAAAAATAAAAATAGTTAAGGACTAGCCTATACTATAAAACGTTAAAAACGTATAAAGATTTTTAAAATTCGTTAATTTTATTAAAATTCTTTAAAAACTATACTAATATTATTAAACCTCTTAATAATTTAATATAAAAAATAACCTATTTATTTAAGATCCTAAATATAAAAAGTATTTATTAAAATTAAAAATATAGTTATTTTTAAACTAATTATTATAATCCTAGACCTTTAAAAACTTTTTAAAATCGAAACCGATACTTTAAACTTCGCTATAAAAGCGGTTCTAAAATAACGAAATAAATAAAAAAAACTTTATTTATATTATTTCTATTCTAAAGCATTTTATAAAATAAAATTAAATTAATAAATTTATAATAAAGAACTAATAGCTATTATCGAAGTATTTTAAAAATAGAAATTATAATTATTTAAAACTAAATACGAAGTTATAATCTATATAGATTATAAAAACTTTATAAACTTTATAATAAATAAGAATTTAAATAAACGATAAATTAGATAGAGCAAATTCTTATTTAAATTTAATTTCTAAATTATTTATTAAAAAGGTTTAGAAAATAGTAGAGCGGATACTCTTAATAAAAGACTTAACTATAAAGTCGCGGTCCCTAAAGAAATATAAATTATTTTTAAATAAAAAAAGGATAGTAGCTTTATATTAACTATAAAACTTTTTATAATAGTTAAAAAGATTAATACTAGCCTAACTAAAAAGATAATTTCTAAACTTATTATAAAAATTTATAATATACCTATATACGGTTATTAAAGAGTTATTAAAATATAAAAACGGATCTATTAATATTATAATAAATCCGCTATACGTACTAAAATTATAAAAATAATTAAAAACTACGTAACTTATAAAAAAAATAAAAATAGCCTATATAAGCCCTATAGCGAGCTATAATTATTACTATTATTAATAAAAGTATAGTAATCGATTTTATAAAACTTTATTATTAAACTACTAAAGTCTAAAGAACTACTTATAAATATATAGTATAATAATATCTTAGTTATAATTAACTAACTTACTAAGTTTATTTATTTTATATTTTATAAAAAAGCTAGTAGCGTAAAAGAGTTAATATATACGTTCTTTAAAGTCGTTATTACTAACTATAATATACTAAAAGAAATAGTATTTAATAAAGGCTCTCTATTTATTTTAAAGTTTTAAAAATCTCTAATTTCGTAACTTAATATAGATTATAAATTATTAACCTCTTTTTACTTATAAACCAATAATTAAATAAAAAGAATTAACTAAATTTTTAAAATATACCTCTATTATTATATAAACTACGATTAGAATAACTAAATAATATTATTATTAATAGCCTAATTCGTATATAATAATATAGTTAGTAAAACAAGAGACGGCTTGCCTGCCTTCGGAAATGGCGGTCCTGACATGCCATTTTCGGCACCTGCCACATCGGGTAATTCTCGGCCACGCCATCCCTCGCCGTTTTGCCAGCCCATAAATGAGCGCTTGCCCCGCCCAACGCGCCAAAGTACCTCGAAGTTTCTTTTGTATCCTTTCCTTCTCACAGCACTTGTTTGCGCCACTTCGCTATTTCGCCGGCCTCAGCCACATCCCCGGTCTCTACGATGTTCACGCATCGTCAACATCCATTCAACTCTCGCTCGCGATTATCAACCGTACGAGAGACCACGGCTTTACCATACATTGGCTTAACCCGGTGCTTGGATGGCAAAGGTATCTGTGTCTAGTTACCTGCACTCGTACTGCCTATGCTAAGTACAGCACGCCTTGCACAGCACGTTCCGATGTTCTCTTGCTGGAATTGTGTTGCTAACTTCCTCAGTTGATTGCCGTTTGTGGTAATCTCTTCACCGCCGTCTGCTGCCTTGCACCTTGCCGATCTCGATTACAGTCGATGTCGAGATTGTCTGACTGTGCGATGGAACGCCTCGCAACCCCGTTGCCGATTCTCGAGGGCTACCTTGCCGTTCGCCTCGCATTCTGCCTCGCCTTCCCGTTCCTCTCGCCTCATTCTCGACCCAAAATTACCCTTGAGAGTAATGCAAGGACGCGAGGGGGTTATGGGATAAGGCACAGGATCACACCACTGGTCACTACTGGCTCGACGCACTACTCCCAAGTTTCCGCAATTACTTCGTTGCGGCCGCAAGCCGCAGGTGACTCGCCGCGTTCCTCACACTCAAAATTACCGATTCTGGTAATTTGACAGCTCAGCGGGGTCCATAAGATGCTGCGAGTGTTCGACGTGTTATGCCAGGCATCACAACGAGCGCCCGCGGGAGTACCCCTGGCGGTCCATCCTCGGGCGAAAGAACGCAGGGCGTGACCGAGAAATTGCCGTCTTTGGCAATTTTCTGGCCTCCAACCTTGGTCAACAGTCGAGCATTGCCGAAAAGGGCGAGAGACACCGCACATCGCGGAGATTGGCGTCTGGCCGGGCTACCAGTCAAGTCATGACGGGCTCTATCTCACTGGGAGTCTGATAGGAGAAACTATCGCTTACGCTGATAGAATTTCCCTGTTGGGTAATTCACGTCTCAACGGCAGCCTGGATGTTCGGCATACCTACACCTGGGCATAGTGCTCCCGCCGATGACGCCCTCGTATGTACGAGGAAAGTATGCCAGCCAAGACATGTACGCACTGCGACTACGCCGGTGGACACTCACCTGACTATCACACCCTTGAGATGGCCTGCTACTCAGGGGCTCGGCGCCCCTGAGCTGGGATATGGCTCGCGAGAAAGTTTCTTACCGAGACCCCGAGAGTCAGCTCCTGCTAGCTTCTCGAAATCTCTGCCAGAGTACAGCAATTCGGGGTCGCCGCAAACAGTGGCGGAGCTGGTCATGGCACTGCTATCTACCAACGGACGGGATCATTCTGCGCGTAGAGTCTCTGAAGATAAGAAGCGAGGGCTCGTCGACGAGACTGCCCCATTGGCATTCTTTCATGCCATGGGCAGAATGCCGAACCTTGAACCTGGATGTCCGTACGTTGGAGTCGAGAAAGACGCACGGCTAGACCTCACCGAGGCGTACCTAATAGCTACTGAGCGGCTTCCGGAGTCAACGAAATTGCTAGAAGAGGCAAATTTCCCCTCGGCGGTGGCGACCATTCTGGTGTGCCTGGTTTGCCTTCTACAAAATGTTGCGATCATCAATCACGTCGCATATACGAGACGGAAGGTGTCGGAAGGCTGAGCACAGCTCGGCGCGCCAGCATAACTTTCCCAAGATGATCGACACCTCCGCCGCCAGTCCTGCCCCATCCTGACAGCTTGAACACATCATGCGTCTAAGGTGGTATCCTGACGGATCGTGCGGTTGATCCTGCACAATCAAGGGGCTACTTTGAGGAGAGAGAGCAGATGACCTCTCCCCCTAACCAGGGGGCCAGACTTTATGCCGGCTGAAAGGCTGGGCAGGCTCGGTGGAAGGTCAGTCTCAGCTGGACAGGCCTCAGCCGGTGCAACCACAAGTCCGAGATTTGGTGCAGACGGCTGTTTTCCTCCGTCCGACAACTACAATTCACGGCGCCAGGAGCGGTCCTGGCGGGTGAAATGGCCCTGGCCTTCTTCAACATGGTGACGTGGCTTACGGGCTTGGCCAGGGCTTCAGAGCTGCGGGTTACTGCGTCAATGGCCATGATGAGCTCGGCAGTTGTTTTGTCACGACTATTCTGAAAGGGGAAGAACGCCGCCAGCGCTTCAGGGGCATCTCCGAGGTTCAGAGTGAAGAAAGAGTACGCGCCATCAGGGGTTCACATGCCAGAGGCGTTGCCATGAAGCCGTTTGACTACCGGCGAGAGGTTCTTTTCCATTCCCACTTCGAATGTGGAAGCTGCAAGCTCCTCCATAGTTTGGGGAGGTGGTGGCGTGAACCGAGCGTTGTGTTGAGCGACTGGGTCGTTCGCCTGGAAAACAACCTATATAAACCCGGCTCCCCACGATCACCACAACGAACTGATTCAATACCGCTCAGACTCAACCAAATCGTTCCTCTTTCGCCGACATGGCTCAAACTCACTTCAAAAGGACGCATGACGTGCGGTCCTATGCCAAGTTCTATCAAGAAAATGAGCGTAGACAGACGGAGCGCGAAGAAAAGAAACGTCAACGCAAGCGCGAGGAGCAGCGAAAGCAACAGCAAACATCTACACTCGAATCATCGGCGCTGGCAACGTCACTCGAGCGAGATATCAGGGGCTCAATTGTGGCAGAGAATCAGACCTCTAGCTATACGTCGGGTACGCTCGCATCATATCCTTCGAGGCATTGACTTACAATAAGCAGATGGTCCTCCGGACTTCCCTCTTCGTATCGACGAACCAGATCCCAATCTCATTGGGGCTCTCGCGACAGCCGAGTTTTACGATGGTCATGCTCTGGGCGATCTCGCAGATACAACGCGACCTTTTGCCTCGATCTCCGAGATCGATGGTTCTGCAGCGAAAACCGACAAATACACCACACATGATGGCATCAAGTTTTCGGAACACTGGTCGCCTTGTGCCTCTGTACTTCCTCAGCCTCCTACAGGATTGACCGAACAGCAAGTCGCAATTACCTTTTCACAGAACAAGCAGCCGCTGGCTCTCGATTCAGTTAGATCTTCAACCGGGCAACTCCGCCTAGCAGGTTGTGTTCCAAATGGCGTGAACGAATGTGAGTGATTAAGATCAATACGCAAGACGATGTCCCAAACTGACAGGAACTCTCGAAGGCATTGCTCAAGACAAGCAGATGAGCAAAAACGGCGACACCTGCGAAAGCAGTGATGATGACGGCTCAGCCAACGACGACAACGGGAGCTCTGATGATGACGACACCGATCGCGAGAGCTTTCTTCCGGACGGAGCGGTTCGGGGACCTCAATTTACAGATCGACACCAGCCGAGGACCTTCTCAACAAGCAAGTCGGCAGCGCCCGACCCCGCGAAGAGCCCACTATACGCACCAAGTTCTGTTTCCAATTTCTCCGTCGATGATGTCGCCGCTTCACTGGACACAGCGGAAGAATGTCAACCAGACATTTTTGCGCTTCCTACCCCATCCTCAGATAATCCCTCTGTCTCACAGCAAGATGGTGACGTCATCACCAGTCGGGGGAAACGAGGTCACGAGGCAAGCGAAGATGGACATGAGAGCGTTGACCTTTGCCTTCCTAAGCGAAAGAGATTACGAAGTTCCAATAAGACGACTGCAACAAATGCTCTTCCAGTGAGGACTTTGCGCGCACTACCTTCTCGAGTCTTGGCAGAGAAGCCAGGCAGAAGAGGCGTTCCAGTCCAGTGCGAAAGACATATCCGGCGCTCCTCAAGATCAAAGCCACGGTCTCACGCCTCTGGCGCCGTGAGTTGTCAAGATGCCCAACCTCACCTTGACGGGCTTCCCTCACTGGACGTGGATAATGCGTCAAATAGAGGGAAGCGGACGAGAACACGACGGGGGCGATCGCAAACTATACCCCAGGTGACTTCGCCGCGTTCGTCTCATTCCAACCATTCTTCAGGAAAGCCTAATCCTCAAAAGAGTGGACGAGATTGTCTCCCTCCTGCCGCCACCACAGTGAATTCGTCCTCAGCCACATGTCACACCTGTGGCTTTTCTGCAGAGCATTTGCTGCAGATAAGCGACACCGTCGAGGCTCTCACTCGAAGTGGTGCTGAGCTGTCTGGCAACGCAAGGGAATCAGACATTCTTCGGCTGTTTCTCGGGTTCGTCAGAGATCATGCTACGCAGAGGCTTCCACGTAAGGCAACAATCACTGGAAACTGCGATGCCTACAATGGGAACAATCAAGAACAGATACGGGAAGCAACTGTGGGGCTACCAAACTCCGAGACAGTCAAAGATGACGAAAGCTCAGATGGCAACTCTAAAGACAGCGACGGCGAAAACGAAAGTGTGAGTTTCGGAAGCCGTGACAGCGACGATATTCCTAAGCAACAGAACAAGAGACCTAAGCGTCTTCGTTGGACACCCTTGGACGAATTACGTCTACGCGCATGGGTTCAAGAGGAGAAGGAGTGGTCGTGGATTGCTGGTCAATTGCAGCGAAGCGAGCAGGGTGCATTTCAACACTGGTCTATTATGAGGAAAAGGGAAGAGGAACTTGGCAAGATGTGAGGGAAACATCGTCTCAGGGGTATGCTGTATTGTCTTTCAGATAATTGAAATGGATAGATTATCCCATTTCTCATTAAAAGGACAGCCGGATCTCGTGGTTTCTGTGCATTCAACCGCGCCGGCTTTGTTGTCTCCTGGCCTGCGGGTTCCAGCGGAAAGACAGTAGGACATGACCGTGACAAGTCGATAACAGTTTGATGTTTCGTCGGGCGAACTTCTGATGTTACACTGCCACGGAGATTTCCGCAGAACCGGATCCCACAAATGCAAAATCGTCGGCGCAGTCAACAATGATATCAGACGCCCGGAGGTAAGGGACAGTCTTAGTCAGCTTGCAATTTCTCCAATCACGTGACTTCGAGTTTTCGGCGGGATTGTTCTTGAGGCGACATGCATCAAACACTTACGATATACATCTAGACAATTCCGATTGTCGCACCACAAGTATCGATTTCATTGATCGCTTTGCTTCTTTAGCACATATCCCGAGTCACAATTCAAGATTAACTCGCAGAACTACGACGACAGTCTCTGGAAGCGCAGCACCTTCGTGAGGAGAGGCTGTTCGACGATGGAACGGTGCGTTGGGTTGCCAGTTTCCTCGGATGCCGAGAGACCGAGATCGACGTATACGGATTCCATTCCGAATCTTGCAGAATCAACACCGGCATCCCACAAGAATCTTCCTTATCGCCAATACTCTACCTCTTCTACAACGAACTTCTCTTGGACAGTTGCAACGAAGCCGAAGACACGACAGCCACCGGGTTCATTGTTGACGTAGCGATCCTTACAGCGGGGGGATATCACTGACGAAACCTGCCAGAAACTCCAAGTAGCGCTTCAGAAACCTGAGACATTGGCCATCACCCATGCCTTTATCTTCGCACCCGAAAAGTTCAGCTTGCTCATCTCACACGAGCGAAGATCAGATTCGACACAGACACGACACTCCAGAGCCCATGGGGAGAAATCGAGCCCAAGGCAACCTGTAGATACCTCGACCTCATCATGGAGTCAGCCCTCAAGTGGAAACAACGCGTCGACGAGGAGTCGCCATACCGCAAATGATGTACGCGTGCTCGCTGTGGTCCAACAGTGGATTGGGAGGGAAAGGCTACACCAAGAGGACACTCAAAAGGCTGCAAAGGCTTCAAGCCCGAGCAGCCAGTGCAATAAGCGGAGCGTACAGAGCGACCTCGTTTCCAGCACTCGATATAAAGATGCATCTCTTGCCAGTCGAACAACAAATGTGCGCATACCGCCTTCGTAGCTCCCCTATGGTGGCAGGTTCCGCGCATCCATATCGGCGAAGATGCGAAGCAGGCTGAGAAGGAACATTAACGATGTCTGAAACAGAACACCGACGCAACACACATCTACACGGACGGCAGCGGCATCGACGGTCACATCGGAGCCGCCACAGTCTGCGCAACCACACAGCAAACCAGCAAAACCCACATGGGCCACGATACAACATCAACAGTCTACGCAGGAGAGCTGCAAGGTATCGTCTTGGCCCTCGAAATGGCCCAGGCAGACAAGCAAAACGGAAATCACAGGAGCAAAGTCTTCATCCACAACCACAGACCCTTCAAAGTATCTCGTATCTTGTTACTCGCTCAGCCTCGCCATTCAGGTGGTGACCGATCGCACCTTAACTACGCAAGCCGATACGATCGACCCGACTGGCTGGATTTTCCCTTTGATGAATCGTCCCATAGGATGACTTCGCGCCGAGGCAAGAGGAGATGTGGGATCAACTCTCAAATTCCCGTTCGTTCGCTTCGAGACCCTTATTTCCATCGCCGCCATGTTCCCGTCTGTTTGGGACGTACAGATCAGCTCTGCCGTTGTAACATGATAGTGGCGTATACAAGCATGTCTTGTTTCTCAGTCGGGTCGGAACGCCTCTGTTTGACTGCACCAATCGAGCACCAATACAGACACTGACGCAGTCACTCACGAAAGAACTAGACTCCGTGGCGTGTCACATGTCGAGATACATCAAAGCTACACAGCAGGAGGCCGTCCTTAATGTGGTCTGTACGATGTGAGATGTACTGCTTGAGGGCTCCAAAGAACTAGTCTCTCCTAGCTCACGTGTCTTCAAACGTCCGGGATAGCGACGGAAAGACAGATTTTGACGCATGAAAGGACGAGAACATTGAGGGGCAATTGTGTAGTAGGAAGTAATGGTCAACGGTAAGGGGTCCTCTATTTTGGTTATTCCCACCACTTCGTTGATCTGCCAGGTTTCATCTTCATCAAGGTCCCTGCAGGGAGAGTGGAAGATTACTACTGGGGATATTGATAAATGGGGCAGAGCCATCTACCCGGAATCTAGCCGCGATAAGATTGTCTCAACACGAGACGCTGTCGTCCAATGTGGCGACACTAAACGACCGCAATTGCAGCGTTCAACGTCTTTGTGTCTGGCTTGTTTCGTACTAGATGGCCTTTCGTAATGGAACTATTTCTAAATTGATAGGACGACAGGTTGCCCACTTATTCACGACGACTGGAATCACTCTTTCATCCGCCATGAGCCATATGCGTCTATGAGGCGTCAATTTATTTTTCCATTTCAATGTTGCTGTTGTCTCGGCAACTAATGTTGAAGTCGAGTTGCTGGCAGAGACGGCGTGACTGAATTGGCGAGCGCTTGAAGCTTTGGTAACGTCGGATTTTGGAGGGAGTTTTGTATGGAAAGGTAGGGGCTTCGTTACATCCAGATTCGAGGATATCCTTAAGGACGACGTCTTAGTCAACGATAGCCTAGCTGTCGAGGCCTGAAGCCGCGTTATGCTGGGATGGACTTGGCGGCTCGGCACGCAGAGTCTAAATGGCAAAGGCTCAGACTTGCGCGACAGAAGACGGAAGGCATTTGGTAAGCGTGTGCTATCTATCTTTGATAGGTCAGACTAGGGGAATTTACCAGAATAGCATCTGTTTCGAGCTGCCAACTCTCTCTGATGTACTGACCGTGATGTTATCAAGATAGTTTGCTGATTATTATTGGGCAGGGTCATCTACTTGACAGTGACGACAAGGGTTGTGCCGGCATGGCCCTTGATTGAGACCGGCCTGAGGGTTTGCGCAATGCTTTACCCCTGCATTGTTCATGTAACCACAATAATGACACCACCAACCGTAGGGTATGAGGTACTCCTTGGCATAGCATTTGTCCCTCGAACAAACACCTTGCGTCGACACGGATGCAGTCGATAAGGGGCTACAGCGCAATAGCGTTCCATATTGCCTGTGACGACGATTGGCACGCACCGCCTCAGGGCAATCCTCGGCGTTCTCAGGGTCGTACCACTTCTCTCCGCTCTGGTGTCCGCATGTGAAGGTGTACCTCCACGCTTGACACATGTCTGCCGTATTGGGACCTAACTTTAATGGCGTAGTTACTGACAGCTTGGAGACGGCGTAGATCTGGTGAGTGGGCATGCTAAGTTAGCACCATTCATCATCACTAGTGCTGGGGGGATCATAGGGTCATATACAAAAGGAGACAGGGCAGATCCAGCCCATTGTATGGACAGACGCTCACATATCAATTGACGAAAAGCGATACGCCGACATAAAGCGAAGTGGTCACAATTGGGGTCAGCGAGACGCCCAGGACCACTGTGCTTCTATTGCTGCGCCGCTGTCACGAACACACATTTGCTCGCGTACGGTGCCGCTGCGGACATTTCAGTAAATGATGCATCAGATTTCGTGCACGGACCACCAACATGCAGTTTTCTTTGCAGATAAACGCACCAAGAACGGAAGCACTGATGCTGGATCCCCTCAATTACCTGCGTTTTCTATTTAACCTACTTCTTTCGTCTTGAGTTCACCGCAAGTCAGGAGAATAATCGCCATGAAGAACCTACTACGATACGACGTTGCTCTTTGGCAGATACACGAAACGGAAGACGATTGCGACCTCATCATTCGAACCAACAACGGACGAGCCTTTTATTGCACAATCTCCCCATCGCAATTTCATCGGTCGCCCAGAATCACAGAGCAGTACTTCAAATGCCTCGAACTGCTGCGGTCTGGGGAAGACGAGCAGGACGATTTCTATGTTGAAGATGCTTGCGACTGGCTGTCCAGAATGTTCGAGCCTCTCATCACCCAGCTGGCGCCGCCGTCTCCAGTGCCTTCTAACGGTAGTCTGCCAACTCTATCCCAGTATCTTTGCCCCCCGCACATCGTTTGCGGCCTAGATGCCACCGACGATGTCCCACACCCGTATCAGGCAGAGAATCAGAGTCATGGATGGTGCAGCCCCGTTGTGGTTGCTGACGATGTGTTGCTTGGGAATCTCGATCAGTGGGCTCGATCCTACGATCCCTCTGATGTCGAGATACTGTACGATCGCCCCGAAGATGTCTTGATAAGACGACCGACTAAGGTTCTTGTTGATGCGGGAAATGGTGATAAGGTCATGTGTTACTTCAAACATTTTGGACTCTCGTTCGGTCAAGCGCATGCCAGGAGCGAACTCGCGAGATTGAACGAAATTGCTACGGCGCAGATACCTCCTGCCCCTGATGCATGGATCTGTCGCCTACATGGCATTGTTCGAGACGGGAACAACTGTATGGGCATGCTGTTCAATTGGATCGAGAAGAAAGGAGTGCTGTCAAGAGCAAGAGCAAACCAGAGTACATCCGAGATCAGGAAACGTTGGAGAACACAGATCAGTACATCTCTGAAGCAGCTACACTGCAAAGGCATCGTCTGGGGCGATGCCAAGGCTGAAAACGTCCTGATCGATCAGGATGACAATGCCTGGATTATCGACTTTGGGGGCAGTTACACACCTGGATGGGTAGACCAGGAGAAAGCAGGGACGATGGCAGGCGATGCACAAGGGTTAAACAAAATACTTGATTTTCTTCGCTAAAAGATAAGTTAGGAATGGATCATGCCGCTATTGCCATATATGTAAGATAGGAAGTGAGGCACTCCAATGAAACGTGACAGTGAATTCCGGCAAGGCGGTGATCGTGCGAGATGACAAATGGGGGATGCTGGCAATTGAATTACTCGTATTCGACAAGCAGAAAGAGCCCGACAGTGGACTCCGTGGCAAGTGCTGCGCTCTAAACGTTCTCATGGTTGGCAGTGGAGAGGCTCTCGGGCAAAGGCACAATGATGTCCCGCAGGACCCACTGCGAATACACTTGCTTGGGCACAGTTCCGCGCCCGCACTTCAGCTTAGGCACCGTCCTGCGTACGTATGTACTTGGGCGGTATTCTGCCTACTCACCTCGGCTACTCACCTCGGTTACTGTCCCAGACCACTAGTGCCGCCCGAAGGTAAGGAACAGGTTTAGTCAGCTTACCGTGTCTCTATCACGTGACTCTGAGTTTGCAGCGTGATTGTTGTCGGAGCGACCTGGATCAAACGTAACGATATACATCCAGATAATTCAGGTTGTCGAGACTCAAGGGTTGGGTTCATTGATCGCTTTGTTCCTGTCACACATATCCCGAGTTGCAATGGAAGATGAAATCGCAAAACTACGAGAACAGCTTCAGGAAGAGCAGCGCCGACGAGAGGAAGAACAACGCCGACGAGAGGAGGCTGAAGAACTCGCGAAGGCGTCACAACCACAGACACTTCGAAAGTATCTAGCATCTTGTCATTCACTCAGCCTCGCCATTCAGGTGGTGACCGACCGCACCTTGACTACGCAAGGTGATACGACGAACCCAACCGGCCGGATTTTCCCTTGACGAATCATTCCATGGGATGACTTCGCGGCGAGTCAAGAGGAGATATGGGATCACCTCTCGAATTCCCGCTCATTCGCTTCGAGACATGTGTTCCCATCGCCGCATCAATTGGACTAAGTCATGTCTCTGATCAGCCCGATCAGCAGCGAGACTGGCCTCCGGAACTTCCAGCGCGATACTGTCGAGAACGCGGTTCAGTAGCTCGTCGGCGAGGCGTACAGCAACACGCGACTCCGAAGTGATACCGGCTTACAAGGGACCGTGACTTTCGAGAGTCACACAAATCTCGGACAGACAGACGAAGCCCTTTCTGAAGCTCTCGATCATATGTCTATCGAAAGGGATGACACCGATGCCGCGGCAACAGCCTCGAGACTACCGAGCCGCAAGCCCCGACGCAGAACTAGAGGCAAGGGCAATCGGGCAGATCAGTTCTGCATATACCGCACCTCCGACGGCCGAAACATTCCGGCCGTGGCGATCGAGTACAAGGCACCGCATAAGTTGCGACGCGACGAGGTCGTCACCGGTCTGGAGTCGGAGACTAGACCGGAACGCGACGTAATAAATAAGAACGGCGAGGGGTTTGCGTTTGCATCGAGATCGCTCGTTGCCGCTGTTGTGACTCAGCTCTTCTCGTACATGATTGGCAAAGGCATCCAGTATGGATATGTGTGCACAGGAGAGGCATTCGTCTTCTTACACATTCTGAATGATCCTACCATCGTATACTATTCTGTGCGTGTGCCGAACCTGGACGTTCTTGATGATGACGACGAGAACAGGCTCCATGGCACAGCTGTTGCGCAGGTCTTTGCCTTTATCCTTCAGGCTCTGCGCGCCGAACCGCCTCCAATGTCCTGGCACGATACTGCCGCGGATCTCGATACCTGGGCTGTAGAGTACGACGACGTGCTAGGAAACATTCCCGAAACAGTACGTAAGGGCAAGGAAGCGCGCGCCTCTCCGTACAAACCCCAACTCTGGCGAGGATTCAAGCGCTCGCCGATTCGGACACGGTCTCGGTGCAAGCAATTCGACAGCAATGAAAAGATCTCCAAAATCAAATACTGCCCCCATTCCAAATGATCGTTTCAAAGGCCACACATGTGACTGCTGGGTTGAGCGATCTGGATTGCAGTAGAGCTGTTGAGCCCCCAGAGACATCACACTTGGCAACGGGCGCATGCTCTCCCAACAGCAGGGGTCAAACGGCCCTCGTCACCTGTTTTCAGAGTTGGGAGACAGAGACACCACCAACCTGCGTTGAAGCGCCCTTGTTTGACTGCTGATAACGACAGCCGCTATGGGCTGCCCAGCCACTCCGGAGCCAGGCTAAATTGCGTTAAACGTTGCACTTGGCTCGCCCCTGCAAGCCCGTCTTGGCACACTGGCTTCGAAACTTACTGCGCTTCAAGTTGATTCCGATGCTAGTCAAAAGCGCTTTGCAGCACAGACTCAGCCATAGGCACCCGTCATCGACCAGCGGAAAGTGGCTACAAGCAAGTAGTATCACGTAGATTCTGCAAGACCCTTATACTTTACCTGAAGCATAAAATGTTGCCCGTCGCGTAGAATCAGACTCTTTTGGTTCTCAGCGCACGGGCTCCTTTTCACAGTGTTGGTCCATCAGCTCACACGAAGTGCTGGTAGGCATCCTGACTGATTCCTCCAGAAATAGCTTATGCTAGGAATAGAATAGATGAACTCCGAGGCGTCGCCGTTGAATCATGAACTAAAAGTCCCCGATAGATCTCCCAACTCATCGCTAGCCGCACTATGATCATGGGCCATCAAGTTTTTCCCAGAATCCCATACTCGAAGAGATCTTAGTCGACATAACATGATCGGATTACTCTCCAAGTCTCACGTGAAGTCAAAGACGATTCTGGCTTACGCTCGTGTATCAAAGATCCGGAATCCCCGGTACTCTTGGCCTGTGCACTCAGACTGTGAACAGCGCAGAAGGCCCCCCTGGCTTGAGTGCTTGCATGGTATTGGGCCCACAGCGGGAACAGGCCCAGTTGTTACGCCTTCCTCTGTCCTAAAATGGCGGCACATGCCCTCCCTCTAAAGGCGATAGCGATGTTGACTATGCTGGTTAAGTCGTCAATCAGCATCAGCCGCCCTGGGCGTGGATATACTCAACCTTGTGTCTCTGGGGAAGCATCGTGAGTGTTGGTGATAAGATGACTGGGATGGAATGTTGGCGCGACGTGGGCCGAAATGCTTTTGTGGCCATGGCCCAATCCGTCACAGCAAAAACTATGTAGATAGGCACTGGGGCCGGCACAAGGGCCCCACTTCGCACCGAGCAAACCGGGACGCTTTCCTGAACCCCTTTCTGGCCGTACGTTCCCGGATGATGGGAGTGCGCTCAAAGGACACGATCATAATCCTCTGAATAAGGGCAACGAGTTGTTGCTCACGTTCTAGATGTTCGTCATGCATTTCGCCGTATAGCTAGTATTAATTTGTAGTGATGGCTTATGTCCTGATACTCTAGTTCGCATCTCGTGCGGAACGTCGAGTTTTGATGAATTATATCACAACAGTTATCTTAGGAGGTTTAGAGCCATCTAGATATCGAAGTCCTGGTATCATTCTACTCTGTGCCTAATGCGGTCACCATACAAGCACCCAGCCGTCAAGGCTGGGAAGCAAACATTCAAAGGCCAGGTCGAGCTGGTTGGCATCCTGTCGCGTATCGGAGCACTCCGTCCCGATGGAAGTACTATGTAAAGAAACTCAAGGGGCGAATGTCAGTATATAGCTAAGGGTAACCGCGGTGCCAAAAGCCGAGAGCTAAGCTTTTATCATTGAAAAGATAGCTCAGTCACTCTCCAGCTCCTTTCGCACACGTCCCAGGCCTGCTCGCAAACCTCCTTCCGTACACTCAAACCCGTGCGGACCTGACCATTGCCACTCCACGCTCCATCGTGGACAGTACTGAGCCGACAATTGTATACCACCCTGGAGGGTGCAGTATCCGCCTGGCTGATGGGCCACCGGTTTCAACCGCCCGTTTCTTCTGAGATCACCGTTCCGGCGAGTTCGTAAACACGTGTGTATCGTTATCGGTGTCTGTTGACTCAGCCTCGGTACTCTTAGACGCAGACTTTGGTCGCTCTGGTTCAGGTTTGGATGGTTCGGACAGGCGCGCTAGCTTGGGAGACCACTGTAATCGTGCGCGTTGCGAGGAAGGCGTCGAACGTGTACCCCATCCAACATGTGCATTGGTTAAGCCTTCAGAGGAAACACTCTTCGGGCGTTCGGGATCATAAAAGTATGGCTCTTCCCCGGCAGTAATACGTAATTCGAGTCTTTGTCGGCGTGGATCAGGAATAGGTCCATCTTCAAGCCAGGATATTTGGGAGCGTTTGATGGGTTTCGATGGCGCTCGCGATGCCATCTGCAGAGCTCTCTCCTTGAACTTGGTAATTTTATCTTCATTCAGGCCGAGTATGTCTTCCAACTTCTCCACGACGAGGTCAGGGTGTTCGAGAATGATTTCGTCGTCGTCACTATCGTCGCTGTTGCTTTCCTCTTCAGGCAAATGACCAGCACTTCTGAGTTGGACGTCGTAGAAGACGGCAAGGTAGGCCAGCATGGACCGGTGCCGATCAGTTTGTGGGTCCCTTAAAGAGTAAAACTCGTTTGCGTTTCGAGGAAATCGTGAGGGTTCCGGTTCGAGAATGCCATATCCAGGGCGATACACAACAACAGGTCGGATAGGGAGTGTTGGATTCTTCAAGGCATTGTTCCGCGTGAAAGCTTGAGACCGGCGGATCTCGGCCTCAAGGTATTGTATCTGGGTCGTGACGTCGTCTCTGAGCACCTTGATGTCGGCTTTCAACTCCCGCTTGACGTCGTCTACGGAGCATCGGATGGAAGCGAGCTCAGCATTCAGATGCTTGTCCTCGGCGTTTCGCAGTTCTATGTATTCGTCGTGGGAGACGCACTGTGGCCGGTGTTTGTCGGCAGAGAAAGAGCGAACAGGCGACGCTGCCATGGTAACGGTGGTGAGAGTAGTGGTAGAAATGACCATCTGCGACGATCGGAACGGTTTGATTGTAGGCGCTATGGCATGGCTTTATCAGGACATGCCTTGACAGGCGCTCATGTTGGGAGGAGGTGGGCTATTAAGTACCCATCAGGGGAGTTGTGGGGTGGATGCCAGGCTTTCATTGGTTGTCTTCTCCTCAGCCAAGCAGAAGACATTTAGAGTTGGGCAGCGCTTCGCACGGTTCCACTGAACATCACTGACCGCGACCGCCTGGAACCAAGGGTTTTCGCTCAAGGCCTGAGCAGTAACATTACAGACGTTCATGTGTGGTTTGCGAAGGCCACCATGCAGCATTGTTGCATTGCACCCATCCCATCCCTCCCTTTCCTGGTCACAGTCCTTAAGCAGCGATCTTTCGCAACACCGCGGCAGCATCTGCGCTGCAGTCGGCAATCACGCTCTGAGGAGGCCTTGGATCGTGTCAGAACGCTAACCTCGGGTGACTGCCTGACCATAATGCAGTGTGATAGTGTAATCTGCCTTGTGAGTCACTGGTCATAACATCATTTCCGTGCCGAACAGAGGGGTCCAGACTTGTATTCCTCCGAGTTACACAACAGGCTTCTGGTAGGTATCTACATAAGCAACTAAACAAAGAAGCGCTTGACAGTATGCAGGGACATGAATGACGTTCTGAGCAGCACCAACCGAGATGGCTCCTGAAGGTACATACACCGGATCTGGGACCTGAGTCCGTACGAGGTGAGGGCCAAGTTGACGCCTATGCCGCAAGGGCGCTTCGACGCGTTGCACTCACTACCAACGCCACCTCCCTGCGCTCACTGCAATTCACTGCTTAGGAACCATGTGCAGTAGCGAAAACAAAACTTTGAACAAGCAACTCAAAGAATGATTACTATCCCATCGAGTGCTGCAAGGCGATAGTACATTGGTCTCCAGCTTTTCTCCAGATCTATCTGGAAACGAATTTTCTGATTCGCGGAGATAGTGGGATTAAATCAACAGTATCGTTTGATTTGCTATTGCCCCGCACTTGTATGTATTGTCGCCTTGCAGCACTCGATGGGCAGGGTTGAAAAAAAGTATACTTAAGTAAGTATTAGGTAGTACTAATACTAGCCTAGTCTGGTATTAGTATACTGAGCAGTACTAGCCTTAGTATTAGTATACTAATAGTATACTAATAGTATTATAATTATTACATAATCACACTTAAATTTAAGAAAAATAAATAAAAATAATTTAAAAATAAAATATTACGTAATAATTTATTTTTATATTATTTTCTATATATTTATGCTATATAAAAATACTAATAAGTATACTTAAGTATACTAATACTAATCACTATAATACTAATACTTACTGATACTAGCTTTAGTACGAAATTTCCGTACTAATACTAGACTTGCTCAAATATACTTATACTAGACTAAATACTAGTAGTATTTTTTTCAACCCTGTCGATGGGACAGACAATACATGAGCGAAGTGGGTGTTGCGCTTGATCCTCGGGGATTCGACTTTCCGTGGGCTGACCTTGTTTATTTGACATCCGGGAGCGGAGTCCCGGTCGGCCATGTAGCTAGCTCATGTGCCAGTGACCCGGCTAAGCCTAGAATCCTCGATCTAAGATGTGCAATGAAGCCCGCAAAAGGGATTGCGGTCCAGTGACGTGAACTTTGATCGCAGTTCCGAACCCGGAACGTGGATGCTTGGGTACACGATGGCCAGCAAGGCACCAGACTCTTGGGAACCTTCCCGCCAAATCTATGCAAATGCACCGTTGTGCTCCATCCATGAGCCACTGTAGCAAATTGCGGATCTGCATCAGCCACTTTAAGCGGTGCGCATTTCGTGATTCATGATGAGGCAGGCCTACGGCAAGAAGTGTTAAATCTCCTCACGTTGCTGTGGTTGGAATCATCAAAGGCTGGCCGTGATGCGAAACACAGACTTCTATTCGCTTCGATCGCGTTCTTCAATTTTACGTTGCATACGAATCATGCTCCAAGGTGTTTGCTCGACTAGTTTGGTGCGTGGCACAGGCCAAACACCAGCAAGGGATTGTATCGATAGTACAGTCTGATGCAAATGTCTCTTCCGCTTTTAGCGCAAACATTCAGTCTTTAATGTGTGAAGGATACATGGAGCTACCGGTGACTACTTTAGATAGTCTAAAGAGTCCAAGAACATCCGCGAAGTAAGCTACAATAATCCAGAAATAGCTGTGATTACCATCTGATCTAGGTATTGGAAAGTAGCATAAGTACTGAACAAACATCCCTGTCTGTGCTCTGTGAGGACAGTGCGACCCGCTCAACACGCTACTTGTATCTGCTTGATGAGGTACAGCTCCCAACACGTGACTTAGTTTGCTATTACGTGGATTGTCGTTCATGTGCATCCTGCTGCCTTGTTTGTGTATTCAACGGAAGCTCGTAGAAGTTTTTGGAAGCATTGTGGTCAGCTTGCTACCTCGCGATCACGATTAATGATGATGGCGTAGAACTTGCGAGCATCATCCACGCTGCGCGAACGTGACACGATGGATCATACTGAAGCTTGGACTATTGATGATGACAGCGAGTCCCATCCCTCTGTCCCATCCTCCTCCTTCGACGATACATCCCAGCGTGCACCTTTAGCCCACAGAAGCCGGCTGAGACCCGCCGGAGCCGCCCTGACCTTCGTGCCGTTTGCTGAGTGGGAGCCAGAGCGGTCGTATGATGACGAGCCTACCATACGATCCAACAATGAGTGGAAGCTATTCGCGAAGAACCGAGGGCACGCTGGCGAATCAGAACTTGACGTGGTGATTTCGCCACGCAAGTTCTGGAAGCACGTTCTGCAACCTAAGGTGGCTGGCGCAAGTGCGGGCAAGCCATGGAAGGAGGACGCCACAAAGCTTGTTCTATCCGTGACAGACCGAAAACCCGGCAATATCACGAAGCGATTTCCGAAGCTTGATATCGACTGGCCGATTGTCACCCGGCAGCTTCGTGAGTGGAGCAAATTCTTGGATGAGGGGAAGAAAATCACCATTACGGCTACGTTCTATTATGTTAACGTGGACGTGGGTAAGTCTGGTCGGGCCGGAGCAACAGCCACTCAAGAGGCAGACCTGGAAGCCAGAACCATCGGCTTAGGTCGGGGTGCCTGTATTAGACAGGCATACGCACTCATGCGCTGCCCCGGCCGTCCATGTACAAAAGGGGACCATTGCTGGCAGCACGATGGCAAACATTACCGACTCTTACCACACCACGTGAGGATGCTAGCCGATCATCTGCAGGCAGGAAGGCCTTTGAACGGGCACGACGATGTTCCTGACGAGTTCCGCCGACTGGTTCAGGAAGACGAGCGTGAGCGAGACGAAAGGGAGCAACGGGACAGGGAAGATCATCGACGAAAGCGGCAAAGACGGGGCTCGGACCCATCGACGTCTGACATGAGGTTCATCCAATGTCACCCGTGCGTCGGTAGTGCGAGCCAAACCCCTGCTTCTCCCACAATGGCGTTCCCGTCGACGCCGTTGCAAAGGACGCACCTGTCGCGAGAGGATGCGGTCAGAGCATAGCACGTGGCAGCAATCTCAGGTCAGCACAGACGTGCAGAAGGAACACTACGGCTTGGCTCAGGAACTGACATTGGCACATGGCTATGATCTAGACATGCTCGCAGCTAACAAGCAAAGGATGTATCAGTTCTACACCAAGCACGGGGTCCTGCCTGGTATTTCATGGCGCTATGTTTGTGACGTGCAGTCATGCTTGACTGAGCATGGATGGTGCGAGGCTATGTAACACAACGATAAAGATTACTTTGTACTGTAAATTGTCGTTACTCCATTAAGTCCCAAGGCCCGTCAACATCGATCTGGGCCATCTTGAGGTGCCCTCTTGCGATTCTCTTGTCCTGCCCAACAACTCTGATCTGCATCAGAAGGTAGGATTTGAAGTCGCCTTGAATGAGATCCTCGTCTTCCAAAGCCATCTTCCTGATGCGATTCTTGACTGACGCGAACAAGTACTCGATTGGGTTAGTGTCCGGTGAATAGGGCACCTGGAATTCGATGATCACGCCTGCCTGCGCGATGAAATCCTTCAGCCTCTGAGAAACAAAATGGAACGAAGCGTTGTCCATGAAGATGACAGATCTCGGCGCGGGATACTTGCCGCAGTACGGCAGTAACCTTTCGAGAAAGCCTTCGAATACCTCGGTATCTGTATCTTCCTCGTAGACCTCGCAGTAAATCACCCCGTCGATCGTGTAGGCTGGCAGTACCTGGACTCTTTTCCCCCGATGGAAGCGCTTGGTTTGCCTCGGTGTCACTCCCTTTGGAGCATACCCGCGATCCAGTATCGCTAACCCACGATCGCTTCCGCTCTCATCAACAAATACCATTTGGTCGACCTTATAATGGGATCGCCGTTCGAAGTAGTCGTCTCGGAGATCCTGGCTTTGCTCTTTTGCAACGTTCTGCGTAACCTTCTTCGTCCAGCCGGCTCGTTTCACTGCCCTTCCGATGGTACTTCGTGACAGCTTCACTTGATACTGTTGAAAGAGGAAGTTCGCCATGTCTTGTTGACTCATGCAAGGATTGCGTTCTAGTTGGTTTTTCAGCGCTAGCCACATGTTCTCCGTCACTACTCTAGGCCGACCCATCGCCTTACGTGGGGGGTTAATCGTGCCATGTCGAAGGATGTCCGCTCGAGCGGTGCGAATCGTTCGTGTCGTGCAAGGGGTCATCGCCTGAGCGATCTCGGTATCCGAAATAGATTCCTTTCCCTGTAACTTATCAACAATGATACTTTGAAGCTCTGACCGTTGTATTTACGATAACTTGGGCGCCATCTTCAATGACCGGTTGAATGCTAGTGTGGCAATTGACTCGCCTGGTCGCCTCAGCTTGACGGCAACCAACGGCAAAACATTACTCCGACACCATACGTCTCCGTCGGCCTCCCGCCACGCTCCGTCCCGTCCGACCCCGCTACTTTCTCTCAAGCTGCGGATTCCTTTCACTATGTCGACCATTCCTCGATGCCTCTATATGCTAGTTCCTATCCTCCCTCAGTCATCGGGCCTTCGGAATTCCGAAGAGGACGCATTAAATTCGGCAAAACACAAAGGCGTAGAGTCGCAGCCATGATTTGTCACGTATGCGCGTTAACCAGCATGCGCTGTGCGTTCGATTGGACCATCAGGCGCCGGTATGCATGACCACAGCCTCGCCAACCCCTCATCGTGGGGTATACCGGGCCCTGCCCAAACCAATGCCAACATTCCTCCTGAGCATTTCTTGCTGATGCCAATGAGGATATTTTTGTGTCCGTTATGGGAAAATCGAAATTCTCCCAACGCTTTAAGGACTTATTCCGCCATGGACGCAGCAATGTGGACACGCAAGGTGCCCGTGATGAACGATCCGCCCCAACACCTACTCTGCTCGATGAAGCAACCTCTTCAGTAGCTGGAATATCACAAGATTCGTCATCACTTCCAGAGCGAACCTCGTGTACTGATCAAAGGTCATTCCGAACTACGGAATCACGAGCTTTCGCGACGCCCGGTCCAATCCCGAGTCCGACAACGCATGCCATCACACCGCTCTCGCATACAACGTTACCAGTAACGCTACCAGTTAGTGAAGGCGTACCTTCACTCTGGAGTCGTGCGTATGAGGCTCTGCGCGACGAGGATGCGCGACTGGGGCCGTTATGGCTGAGTCATCACCAAAGGCCCTGACCGATGCGCCGGGCTGTATGTACAGTACCGTACAACTTTATCCTGTGTGAACCATGGAGTTATCTTAGCCGCGGGGTCGCAGAGCCGTCTTCTGCTTACTGTAGGGCCCAACCTTTTACGGAGCTGGTGCACAACGTAAGCATCTTGCTTTGCGTGGGCATTGATGACGCTGTCCCCTCTGCTCTTCTGACAGACTCGACGTGGCAAGACCTTGAGCGACTACTTAGAGGAAGGATAAGATACTTCGAGTCAGCATCTACTTGCCAGCGAGGAATTAGATGTGGACGAGACTCGATTGGTACCTTGTCAGTTTGATTACTTCTCTCAATATTAAGTACTTTCATCACTAAATAAGTACTGTCCGACCCTGGGGATTGATGTGTTGTTGACGGTCTCCGGTTACGCTGTCCAGGCTGGTTTGATGACCGTGTCCATTGCAGGTTTTGGAAAGTTGGGTTTGATTACATTTTGCCGGCCGGGGTCGTAACCGGTGGATGACATCGCACATGATGCGACAACAGATAACGGCAGAAGTGATCCTAGGTACGTAGTCTAGTTACGAGCCTCACTTTTTACAGAGACACCGCTGGGTCTCAATGCATTCTTGCGATGCAACTCAGGAGATGATCCTTGATACAGTAGGCACACATTACTATGCTGTTTTAACGCACAGTCTGGTTACGTCATCACCAACGGACGCGGGTTGCGACACGATGAGGCGAGCGGGAAAGACAGTGCTCACCAATCACGGAATATATCGAAGTTAAGGGGGAACAAAATTGAGGATGGACTCGTGCTGGAAAGAATTGATTTTGATTTTGTCCCCTACCATACAGTACAACACAGTATTGTGAACATATTACTGTACTTTGTCTTTGGAACAGACATTGATTCTCCTGATTTGCCCCACGAAACACATAGTATTTCCGACTCCTTCATACTGTCTACACGCCTCCGCGCATTAGTGGAGGAAAGAACTTATAGGCAGGGCCGTCAATGGCTCGTTGCGGGCGTTTTCCATGCGCCAACTCGACCCAACATTTTGTTTGTAGATCGACAACCCTCATAAGATGTGTGAAGAGGCTCACTACGGCAGTTTTTGCCTCCCTAGCCAATGAGAATGTGTGCAGGAAGAGAAGCATACAGCATATACCCATAAGTGTGCTGCGTTTCGCTGATGAATTCAGTTCCATGCGATAATCCGTGTGTAACCGATGACCCGTAGGGTCAATTCTAGAAACAAGACGCAACGCGAAGAAGAAAAACAGAGAGGTCGCGCTGTACGGACGGCGCGTTGCTGCAAGGAAAGGGGGCACAGCTTCGCCATAAGTCACGATACCCTTGACACCACCCTAGCACGCGATCCCGTGACAATCTGTCGTAAACGTGGGAGAAAAACATGTGTCTCGACCGAATCTGATCATGGCTGAACCAAACGTGCGCTCGAAAACTGGAAGCGTACTCAATCATTCCCCCTGGCTCGCTCCATAGAATTCTTTTTGCCTCACGTCTTTCAGAACGCTTGTCAAGTACGGCAAGTATTTGCTGTGTTCTACCTTGCTGCCCCCGAATAAAGAAAGACTGGACAAATTGGGGGGGCATATGCCATGTGTTATGACGACCTGAGCCACACTTGAGCCACAGGAAAACCTTGTCGATCAGCCAGCGCGGGACGAGCGGAACTGGAATGGACCGAGTAGCGCGGAGCTGGCCTACCAAAATAGAGCCTGCCAATGTATGCCAGCACCTGTGTGCTAGCATACATGTGCCAGCGTCTATGCAACCAGTGGAGCCCACACAGACGCTGGCAGCGCTTACCTAGCATGCTCTTTGTTTGTCAGCATCTGTGTGCTAGCATCAGTGTGCCAGCATTCGTCTTCTCAGTAGCAGCTACCTGTTTTCCTGGTGTTGTACCCTTGGACAAGTAGTCACTGAGTTTGCGCATCGTCTTCTGGATTTACCAACGATCCGGGGTACTGTGATGTGGATGGCAAACAGATCTGCTCGCATTATGGTGCTGCCAGAACCGCGCCCTCTAACCTCGAAACTCCGTGTCAATTACAGCGCTTGACTGTTGCAATCATCGTCGTCTCGCATGCTGCAGCTGCAGGAGGCCAACTAAGCCCCCGTCGCGAACCCGAAGATAATTGGGCAACATGTCTCAACATTGCGGGCGTAACGCTTTCTACGACCAAGCACGAAGCGATCTACGACGCACTATGGACTGGAGTTGTCCGCGGCACGCTTGCCACACAAGATGTCCCCTAAATACAGTATCGAGTGAATGTACATCATGCATCTTTCCGCACGTTCTTCTCACAATCATATGAAAAACCATCTCTCCTGTTCCACCATCATATAACCGTACGGTTCCAGCGATGAATTTTGCCTGCGTCACCTGCCTCCAGACATGGCCTTCATGTAGGTCTCGCGATCAGCATGTGGCTGCCAAGTCCCACCTGGCTCCTGAATTTGAATGCGACACTTGCGACCGTTATTGCAACAACCAACGAGCCATCGAACAGCACATGGCTGCGCTGAACCACTGGGCGGATTCATCTTCTGACGAACCCGAGTACTACTGCGACTACGACTCTTGCTCTGAGGTGTTAGATGACGAAGATGCACTTAGGGAGCATGAAGTGAATGAACACTTTTACTGCGATCCATGCGACCGAACATTTCAAGACGTGAACAGCATCAAGATGGTTCGTTACTAAACCACAGATCACAAAATTGGCCTAACTTGTGTAGCATCGCAACAGCAGAGCGCACCGCGGCAATAACGCATCCTGCGTTTTTGCCACAAATCATACGTGACTGCGGCCGGCGTTTTTCATCACCTAGAGGAGGGAGCATGCGAAAAAGCACCATTGACTCGGCTTGGAGTTCTTCAAGCGGCCAAACAGCGTGATCCAAATGGTGTGCTCACGAAACGACTGCAAGAGTGGGCTGTGGAGGTCACTCTGGAGGCCACTGTGGAATCTTGGGATCCCGTCACCAAGACTTTCAATTGCTCACTGTGCAGCGGTCGCTTTGCAAGCCGCGAGTCGTTAAATCAACTCCTCAAATCGCCAAAACACCAGCAGAGCCCCTACCACTGTCCGAAACACGGCTGTCCCAGGGAGTTCAGCACATTAGCAGCCGTCACTGAGCATTTGCAGAGTGAAAGCTGCGATTTCATGGCATTCGAGGCTGTCCAGGAGATTGCGGCACGAATCTTTGATCCTGGACGCATGATCACCCTTTAGACAGGCTCATGTTTGGAGAGAAGACATAGTATCTGGTCAATACCGATTGCGAGACGGCACGGAGTAGGATATCGACGTGCTTGGGTATCGGCAAAGATAAGGAGCAGTCTTTGGACGGGGAGTTTCGATAACCCGCTCATATTGAAACCGACAAACTGTGGTGCTATTTACGTCACTGCCAAGGCCTGACAACGATGCACCTATCATCCGCGGCATACTCTCGACACGGGGAGCTTTGCGGATGACCAATGCCTGGATGCTGTTCTGATGCCGCAGGACTGAAGTTCAGATCACGTTCTTGAGGATCGTGTTGCGTGCGTGATCCGAGCGGGCGTATACAACGCTGCTCTCTTGCTTCCGCAGAAGAATCGGCACCGTCGAGGATTTGGTTGCCGGCTACAGTGCATGACTCGCAAGAATCACCGGTAGTCGTCGCTAAATGTGGCGTGTTCTCGAGACCACGGTCTTCTTGCAACTGCATCCAGGGTCGTTCCTCCGATGACATAAAATTTGGATAATCAGACTTGGTGACGGGACATAAGTTCGTCTGCGCAGCTAAGTCAAGTGAAGCAGTCGTTGCGACTGGCAATGCCTGAGATAACACTGTCGCCAGTTTCTGGTTTTGCGGTCTGAAAATAACGATTCGGTCGTGTTCTTCGATCCCGGTATCAATCGAGCATAAAATGGGTGAGTCCCGGTGGCTGAACCACGTTTGAGCGGCTCTGCCTACTATGCGGCCAGAAGGAAACATTTGGACAATTACTTCCCCAGGTGTTTGAGGGAAACAGGTGGTTGCCATGTATCGAGACCCTTCACGGGATATGTACTTGTGTAACCGGGCAAACTCTTGCCATTGCGACGTGAACATCACTCGACTTATCCAGGTTAGGTGACCAGACAGATAGACCACAAGCGGGACACTTACAAGCTGCCAGACTTGGTCTGGAAGTTCCAGACGTGTTGACAAACCGGCTGAGCAGAGTAATGGATGATTTCAGCCCGCTCGTCCATCATGTCCCGTTGCATCAAATAGGAGGACATAGGGCCTGTTCCGCCGATGAAGCCGTCTGGCGTGACATACAAAAGCTCTTTCTCCTCTGTGCTTAGAATGCTGCTGTCAGGTCGCTGTATCTTCAGCAAGAGGGTTCTGTAAAGGGGCACGCCAGGTGAGTCCATGTTTTCGATACGTTGATTTGTGTCGAGGGAGTTCGAAGATTGTTGTGCTTAGAGTGTCTGGGAGACGGTCGCTGGGGCCGTTTACATGATGAGGCTACGACCATCTTCTTGAGGAGAGGCACAAGAGTGGTCATATTATATAGACCTCGTCGCGGCTATGATCTAGCAAAGAGCATTGTATCAAGCGCCCCCTCTAGTGCAGCACATTCCGAGGAGTGTTGTGGGATCGTACCCCTGCTGCAAAGTAGGTTGGAAGATGGCTGTCTGCAATGCAAACGAGACCCTGAATGAGGGACACCTCGTCCAATGTACCAAATAGCCGAGGGGCCTTGCGAATAACGCGCGGCTGGTGGGTGCCCGATTCTTGCATCAACAAACACAGCATTTGCGCACGACCGCAGGCGATTATCATCAAGCTGGATGGGATCGGGTCGTGCAATCGAACCACATTGGAACACGTACTGCAGCATAAGCAGGGTGCCAAACGCCCGTTGTGGCCTTCTCGATTTACGTCTGCCGCAGATTTCCAAAGGTCAGACGCCTGTAGAATCAGATGATCAGTGAAAACCTGTCGCCTCGATATTCGCTGCAGCTTTGCTGCAGAAAACGGGCGATAAGTGTGGCATGTCCAGAGGCTTCTGGCTGTGCGCAGGTGTGTTTGACTGGCTACGTCACGTGGCTACTACGGTCAGAGTCTCTGTACGGATCAAGGTTTAGCCGGAAGGCATCGTTGTCAATTTGGCAAATCTCATTTCCTGGTTCACCAGCTTCACCTGAAGCAGCAGACTACCTGATGCTGCCGTAAAATGCTAAACCAAATTGTTTAGCCTCGCGGCCGGAACAAGCACTTCAACCAAGATCTTAAGCGCCGCCTTCTTCTGCCCTGTTCTCAGAGGGCAAGGCTTCCAACTCAGCCAGGAGCGCTTTGCGTCTCGCATTATAGTCTAGTGTTATTAGAACGCGTCAGTTAGCGAAGTGAGTAGTCGTCAAAAAGTCGGAGGATTTGTTGTGAGGATGCTGCAAAGAGATAAAGAAAGACTGTTGAGGTGGAAATAGAAGGGAAAACAAATCCGCAAGTGCACGACTGTTGCGGGGAGGTGTGCGACAATGCTGCGGATGAGGGGCGCCAATGCCGCTCTATATGGCGTGAAAATATCGTGAGTTAGTTCGCAACACAGCTGCCTGGAACTAGGAGCATGATCTGCCGTGTTGGCTGAAAGGGGGTTTGCCTGGCCTAGCCTGGGCCGAATCTGCAGCCGACTCCTTCCTGTATGTCACCCCGCGCCTGGCCATCTGATCCATTTATACTGCGTACTATTGGCCGGAAGACCAGAGGCCAACCTGCCAAGCAGTTAAAGAGTGCCAAGTTTCACCATGATGCCGCTGGCGGCACGTATACCCCCCTCACCCCCACCCCCCTTTTTTCATAATAAGAAAGAAACGGCATCTTCTCCGATGCCGTTAGCGGTAAATCAGAAGTTGCCTATTGGCTTAGCTGCCTCAAGTGGCTCATCGCCAAGCTGGGATTGCGTGCCCTGCCGTAAATGAGCCACCCCTCCCCAGAACCGCTGCCTTACCCGTGTTGCGCTAGCTAAGCGCTCTTCCCCGCCCATGTGGCTCTCCACAAGTTTCGGGATTCAGGGCAATAGAGGCCCCGGTTTTCTGGCTTATCGATGTATAGTAGATACCAGCGTAGTGGCCATTGCAGCATTGTTGCATGACTTTCCGCAACAACTACGCTAATCACACGGGGTAATTGCTGCCAAGTGGTTACTCAATGCAGTTCGCTCACCAGATCAAACTGGTTTCTTTCCCCTACTGTCAAGTCCATGCCACCCTCGTGCTTTGTCTACTATTTCTGATGAGCCCAGTACCATACTGTCTAGGTGATATTCGGCCAAAACGGACACTTCTGTCAGCGGTTCGAGGGCGTGTGTGGGTTAGTTGTGCCATGACTGCCCTTCTGTGCTTTGTCTGCATGTCAAGTCCACAGTACGACGCATAAAATTTCGGTTATGTAGCATCATAAAATGGCCTCCATGTTGAGCACATACTCTTTCTCTCCATATGGCTACCGTCCTGCATTCTTCCATATTGATCCATATGTTCTGTAGCTCCAACCGCAAAAATAATCCTTGAATCTCTGGAGTTCCTGCATGTCACCCAGCGGGAGAGAACGAAGTCATGACTTGACCGAATCTATCCTTGTGATTCTCCGCTTCCGACGCTCATGTCCCTCACCCACATCCTCCCCGTCACTCTCATAAAGGAACGACCGCTTCCTGGTTGTGACAGGGCTTGCCGCCAAGCCGCTGCTTTGTGTATGCCCAACAGGCTGCTCGCTAGGTCCTAGCCTTGCAGACGAGCCCTGCTTGGCTTGAGGGTATGACTTGTCCACTCTTTGAACGTCCTCAGATGATGAAGGAGAAGTGTAAGGCGATATGGCCTGTAACGCATGGGGGCTTGACGCTGACTGAGATGCTTTCGAGAGCGGTGTAGCGGTATCGGCCGGCGTACTGTCTGTCGGTCGCGGCGACAGAGGACGTGGTCGGAATGATGACCCGCAGTTGGCTGGTGACTCGGGTGACGTACTTTGCGATTGGTACGGTTGTTTCATGTCGTTTTTCTCCTCCTCGTTCTCTTCCTCCCCCTCTCTAGTGGAATTCTTGTGATATGTGTCCATAAAAAACGGCGCCTGAAATCGGTGCTCCGAAGACGTCTCGTCCGCATCATTGCATTCCGCTACTCTTCGCAAGGTAGAGTTCCACACTTCGTCCACCTGCTCGTCCCAGCCGGTTGAAGAGTATAGTTCAGGAGGAAACGTGTTTTCATGCTCCCACGGATCATCTCCAGTATCAAGCGCGTCGTCTTGAGCGACCCTAGAGCCTTGGATATCGGCTTCGTTATCGACAACACCGGCAACGTCCGCGGAGCTGGCCTGCATCAGCGGTTCCCCCTTCTCGCTGCCCTTCCAGAGGTTACCGATTCAGAACATGGCCCGGCAGTGTTACGGTGCACTGAAACGTGTCTCTTTTCCAGTACCAGAGCAGTATCCACTACCTTGGATCTGGGCCACAGTAATCACAATTTTGTGCTCAGCATCCCTTGTAGCAACCATAAATCCATGCTTGTAGGCTAAACTGCCTACTCAGCCCCTAACCCCTGAGCACTCAGCGCCCGTTGCAGTGCAACATGCGAAAGTTGGACCCTGTGTGGCTATTGATTGACACGGGGCAGGGGAGACAAGGAGGTTAACGTTGGCGGGATTGCCCGCCCGAGCTAGCCTTACACAGAGCTAGAGTCCTTTAAGAATATGCAGGATCAATCCATAGAGAGCTGTACAGTATCCGAAGGCCTCACGATCCAGCTCAATTGGTTTTGGTGTGCTGATCCTTACCGCCAACTGTTGCTTCAGGCCGAAGTCCAGTCCGCATTCTCCACTCTCGTCCCCCAGCTGACTAATATGGTAGTATGGGTAATTAAGTTCCATGTCGCTGCCTGGTATTTTGGAGGTTATTAGCCCACAATGACTAAAAAAAGAGTAAGGCTGACTGGCTGAAATTATGCGCAAGTGTACAACAAACTCGAAGTACCGCAGATTATGTAAGTATTGATGCACAGGCCATAAGTACCTGACATAGGGGCAAAACTTTTGCCTGCAACCCCCAGTACGTTCTGCAGCTGCCATCCCGTTTGCAAGCGCGCTGCCCCATGTGCGTCGGTTGCTGATAGGTTCCACTGTGTTCGCACAAACGAGTGTTCCACTAATCACATGCGCCCGGAAGTGGGACAATGTCTCTGGATTAGGCAGCGAGGACACAGTGACTGACCAGCTCACGAAGGCGAATGCCGGCTGCGTTGTCGGTGCACCACCATCGACAATTCATTGGCTCAGATCTAATCCAGGCCAGCCACGTGTACTATCTACACTATGGCCTGGCTCACACCACGATTATCATCATTTCATGATCAGCGTCCCTGGTGATAGCATACACTCATGCTTCAAAATTGGTTGTGCCTACCCCAACCCCCGGGGGGATCCAGAGCATGTCCTTCATCGGACCACAGTCTCGCAGGGAGGTGCCACATGCGCACCCACTTAATGGATGGCGACCTCCGACGCTTGCTTACGGGAGGAAGAAAAGGGTTTGGTTCTGAGCATCGGAAACACCGCTGAATTTTTCACGACGCCCAGTGTGCTGAAGTTGCCTCAGCGATGGCTGGTGGTATCGGGGACTAAACAGCACGCTGTTAGTATTAGTAAGCGACGTTGAAAGCAGTCAGATTCTCAGTTCGGGATACAAACCTCGGTAATAGGTTTCTCGTTTAGGATACTGGAGTGTTGCCGTTGCATTTGGTACACACGTACCCTCCAACCTTTCCTTTGCCGCCGCATTCCGTGCACGTCGCCATTGTTGGTTGGTAAGTGGGGTAGGTGGCTTCTGACAAGGATTATCGACAAACGTGTTGAGTGCGAAAAAACATAATGTGAATGGCAGGAGCACCTGCCGGTATTTATGCATGAAAGGGCATGGTGTTCCAATATCCGAGCCAATCAGTGACTGCCACTTGACAGCCACACTCTGATTCACTATCCTCCAGTATCTCCTTGGTTCCATTCCTTTCGCCTTCCTCCTTGCTCCCAGCATTCGAAATGATGGGCGAAAACTCCAAGTGTATCCAATGCCAGACGTGCTTCGCGGCGTTTGATACTATTCAGAACTTACGCGACCATGTGGGCGAGTATCAGGTCTGTGAATGATTCCTGTGCCATACAGAGTGCTGATTATTGTCCCAGCGTGAGGCTCATGCATTGATGGCGAGACTACGAGAGATCCTAGCTCATTTGCCTCCGCTTGACAAACAAAGACCGCCATCCCATGGAAACCTTGACGAGGGCGATCGGGACCTTGGTGCTGATGACGGCGAGGATACCGACAAGGACGACTCCGCTGACCTCGATGGACTCTTTTGTCCGTATCCGGCTTGCGATCGAGGACAAGCATTCCAAACAAAGCAGGCCCAGATTCGACACTATGAAACTCGTGATGCACACGCTCTTTTCTGAATTCGCAGTATACTGACGTGAGATTTAGACATCCCCTGTTACGAGATTTGCGTCTTTTGCCGATACTCGTTCGTCCAAGCACGTAAATATATTGCGCATAACTGCAAGGCGAAACCCACGTCGCACGACCAATGGAGGGACCAATACAGAAAAGAGCGCTGCGCCCAGTTGCACCAGCAGGCAGCTGAAAAGTTGGACGAAATGCTGGATCTCGACAAAAAGGCTCTCCGGAAGGAAGACTTCAGGAAACGAGCACGTGATGCAGAGGATCAATGCGCGGACCAAAGGCAAGCGCAAAAGAGATCACGTACCACTCATGGCACGAGCAATGGACTTGGTGAGCTGCATTGAAATCTCCGACCCGACCAGACTCTGATATAACAACAGAAGTCCGTGGTCAGAGTAGTCTTTTCGCATCTATGCGCCCCTTGACACCTCCGTCTACCATTTCAAGCCAGCTTGATAGCTGTGTAGCTCCAACTGCACCTTTCCCCAACGGGGTTACTTCATCCGGTACAGACTTTTCATTCCTGGAAGAGCCCTTCACCTTGCTTCCTGGACGAATACAAGCTCCGATCTTTCATAGCGCCACCATTCCCCCATGGTATGGATTGGAACAACAGCTCCGGCTAGAACCATACGAGAGCGCTTTGCACATATCTCAGCCTTCATCGGGTGATTGTTGCAATGGTGCATCATTGACATAAGGCGCGATGGGGCATCAAGGACCGTGTTGGTGTTGATATCTCACTTCAAGGGAACTTCAATCGACTATTCATGTGAGATATCAGTCCTTAATATAAATTACGTTTACCCTGAGTGTTGGGCTTTCCATGCTTGAGACATGATGTTCAAGGGATCGCGGCAACGGCATTGGGCTCCAGTACTTCGCAGCATCCTCCTTCCCGAAGGCAAACGTGATGGCCGTACCAGCTGTGATCTGGAATGCCGTCCTCGCATCAAGTACGGCGCTATAAGTCTCGTCAGCGTAACGTATTGGAAGAGTAGGCCAAACCTACAAGCCACCCCTCTCAAGTGTTGTCTCCATCGGCGTACTACTGCTGGCCTGGAGGCGTGCACGTGGGACCTGTAGAAGAGAGTTCGCTGCTTCAACAGGATCAAGCCAGTGACGATGCGAACCAGCCCAGTAGGTAACCTTGGAGCCTGGGCCCCATATCATGACCATGATGATTTCCACTTCATGTCCTGGGTCGCTGATGAATACGTGGTCGAAAGGAGAGGGCCCTATGGACCTGTAAAGTCCTAGGCTCGATGACTCGAGGAGGGATTCAAGGAGAGGTCGAATGTTCTGAGGGAGTCAGGACTGACGGCACAAGCAGTGGTTGTAGCAGCTTACAGGGTGACGAAGGACATTGGTTTCCGCAAACTGAAGACCGCGTGCTGATGCAAAGGGCGTCGCGTTATCTTCCATTTGCTTGACCTGATCTCCAAGAGATGTATCCTCAGAGGCAAAATATCCCTGATCAACAATCAAGCTCCGCTGAGTGGGTATTGAATTCATGATAGAGGTAGGACCGTCCAAGGTGATGAAAGAGGCATTAGTGTCTGGCGACTGTGTCGGTTGTTAGTGGTTCCACGGAAGTCTGGCGCCCAACATCGCTTTAGGCTGTGACGACGGAAACTAGTTATTCCGAAGTAATCACATGCTTTTGTCACCGGCGTTTCTGAGCACCGAGCTCCGTAAGAGGATTCGAGCAATCCTGCACCGTTGCAAAAACGGGAGATATCCAGAAAAAACATCAACAAAAGCGAGAACGAATTTTCTGAAGTCGGAGCAAAGACGGCGCCACAACACACTCTGAAAGGTCAATTAAATAGCCGTGTGCTCGTCGTGAAGCCCAAAGCGACGCAGGCACCATGGCACCCCCATGGCCCCAGGAGCAACTATGGCCAACCCATCATCGAGAACACGCCGCCGAACTTAGCAGACACCTCCAGACAGCAGTCGAGTCTATCGATACCGCAAACGCACACCGCAAATGGACACCCCCTCAACCCGCAGACTGTGAGGACCACGCCCATTGCGACCCTCTCCCCAATCGTCAAGATGCAGAGCCAGCCCGAACTCGGACACCTTCACCAGGCCATCGAAAGTCTACGTGCGGAAACCAAAACAGCCAATCAGAATACCACCCGCGAAACGAGAACTATCAGGATTGTCATGTAGCAGAACACGGCCGAACTCAAGGAAAATTACAATACAACGCGTGCGGCCAACGCAGCCACCAAAGAAGATTAGAAAGCCAGTGAGCTACAGTTTTGTGCACATGTCGCTTCCTCTGTCACGAGCATTCTCAATGTTTGAAAAGCCGAAAACTGCTGTGATGGGTCTCCACAGACCTCTGGTAATGGCTATAGCGACTGGTTTACAAACAAAAATGTAGGTCAGGATAGCAAACGACAGTGCGAGGGGCAGCGCGTAATCAAGAGCTACTCCAAAGTATCCATATCCGGCTTCAACAGCAGTCATTCTCGCAAATCTGATCGTGATCGCATGTACACAGTAAGAGCGACTATGGGCCCAGCCTGTGTGAGTCAAGTCCAAAAAGATGAAGTGTGTTGCCAAGAGGAAGCAACATTTGATCAATACTATAGCAGTCAAGGTCGTGAAAGATATCAAAGCACTTGAGCCAATGAATCAGGGGAGCACCGCACAGTCATATGCCAGCGTAGCGACCATCGCCAGCATACGAGCCATGAATCCCCGTAGTCTCAAGGCGCACGTAGACCGTGCTATCAAACAAAGAAGTACCGAAAGACATGGAGGCCCTCCGCCAATTTGCCGAGGACTAGGAAAACCACATCGGCAAGAGAGCCGCAGTGCGGATCCCAACCTACGGAGTGCTGGCGTATGGCATGAGGACCAGCTCAATGAACATGGATCGCTTTACGGAAATGAGAGACGACCTGGCTGACCCGTTCGGCCACCAGGAAGACGGCAACATCTGCGATAGTGGCAGAACTTTCGAGGGCAGAAGACGCAAACAAACTCATTGACGAGGGACTCATCTGGCAAGGCCAGGTATTCCAATGCGAACAATACAAGGTCCCCTTGTCACCTTTGAATGCTACATACCACAGTTCCGTGATTCTATACTTGTTGAAGCATTCGTTCATGACTTGGCCAACATGGTTTCGTGATTTACCAACATGCATGACATCCATGTTTGGTCAAGACATTTTCACAACTGCCAAGGACCTTGCCTCATGGTTATCTGGGATCTGTAAGGGGCGCGCATCCGTCGATTCCCACAAGGACATGTATTCATTGCTGGATATTTATTTAAAACATTGGTCTCCTATTGTCGCAGAACCAGCATTACAATCATGCCCGGCCCGTGTCAGTGCTGGTGTGAATGTCAGAAACCTGTCGACGTTCCGCGTTCAAACTTCTGCAAGTGGTGTTGTCAACATTGCCAGAAATAGTCCACAGAACACTCTTCTACCATGCAATCTCCGAGCCACCCGATTTCAGACCATGTCTCCATCATGGACATCTTCTTCCCCGGCTTCACCGGCGTCACAGCTGCGCTCCATCAGCTTCTCAACGGAAACTTAGACAGCTATGCCGGCTTGCTGTGCATCTGCGGAATGCTAATGATTAGTGGCAAGTTCCTGTACAGGGCCGTCGGAGGCTTTGTGGACACTTACTTCAGTTGGTGACTCTTCCTTTCCAATTCTCTAATACAGCCTTAACATCCGCAGCTTCGAAGACCGATGTTCACGATCCTGACGAGGCATACGATATGCTCGAATGTTGGATCTCTGCGCAGGACTTTGCCAAGAACGCATGCTCGTCTCTCGTCAGTGTTGACAGCAGGCGAGGACGAGCACTGGTCCATCCTAGTGGTGACACTACGGCTAAAAAGCCTCTTCGGTTCACCCCTTGGAGAGAGCGACAATCTTTCTGGTATAAGGGCCACCTTCTCAGTCTGCAATGCACACAGAACGAGTCGGCCTTGTTCCCGCGCAAGACGATGACGGTCTCTTGCATTGGCCGTTCTTCCCTGATCCTACGAGACCTTATGGACGAGTGTCGTTTCGAATACCTGAAGCTTTCGGAGAACAAAACCTCTATCTTCGAGCACTATAACAACGGCTGGAAAAGAACCATTACCCGAGACATCAGACCGATCGAGACAGTCGTCATGAACGAAGAGATAAAGCAGACGCTCCTCAAGGACATCCGCTCCTTTCTCGATCCTACAGCTCGTTCGTGGTACACCAGTCGCGGGTTGCCATATCGGAGGGGCTACCTACTGTACGGCCGACCTGGAACCGGCAAATCCAGTCTTAGCATGTCTGTCGCAGGCTGCTTCGGACTGGACATATACGTCCTCAGCCTTGCCGGTATCAACGACGGGCGCCTGAGCGCCTTGTTCGCTGAGCTTCCGCAACGCTGTGTCGTCCTGCTCGAGGATGTTGACGCAGTTGGCACAACACAGTCTCGAAACACTGATGCAGATGACTCTGACTCAGGATCGGAAGTATCACGAACCTCATCAAAGCCACCCGGAACTCTCTCCCTGTCTGGACTCCTTAACGTCCTTGACGGCGTAGCCTCCCAGGAGGGACGCATCCTCATCATGACGACCAATCATCGGGAGCATCTGGATGATGCCCTCATACGGCCTGGTCGCGTTGACAAGAAAGTCGAATTCCAGCTTGCCGACGCTGATGTGATCAGAAGGCTGTTCTGCACTGTGTTCGAACAGTCAACAGAGGAGTTGCCTGATGCGGAGGCTCGAGACAAGAGCAACGAAGAAGTTCGGCGGCTGGCAGTCGAGTTTGCGGCCGCGATACCGGAGCTGGAGCTTAGCCCTGCCGACATTCTTTCGTTCCTCCTCGCAAACAGGGGCTCTCCATCAAGCGCTTTGGCCGATGCGGCAGGATTGGTATCAAAGACTAGAAAGGGTGGAGCGCTCAGAATGGGTGATTCTTGGGTTCATAGTGATTGAACTTGAGGCGCCATGTGTGCTGGATCTACATTCATTTTTGCTTTGGTTTAAATGTCACTCCTTATTGTACACATAACCACCGAGAAACGCAACCAACTTGGGTATATAGTTCAGGACTTCACTCTTTTATTCATCCCTTCTCCGACTATATTCTAACCTTGTGAAAGACGGGCAACAACACCTCGGCTAAATGAGCATGGCATACACGGCGACGGAGCTTGAGGTTCTTCATAATTTAGAGGCGTTCCGTAGCTGTTCTACACTAGTGTGATTCCAAATATATAATTTCCAGTTACTGATGCCAGGCAGGCGAAGAGCGTCGCCAGGAAATGTTCGGAAGCGTGCGGGAACAGACGACGCAGCGTCCAATAAATACCCATTCTTCTCGCAAAACGAATTGGATCAGCAGGCTTACCGAGTTAGGATGCGGTTGACCTTCGCCTAGGCATCTGACCAACTGCCTGCCAGCGACTACTATCTTCAGCCCGGAATGTGCAGGGCTTTTCAGACCTGCCGTCGGCACTGGTGTCAGGGTTCGTGTTGGGATACCTGCCAAGCAGAGGGTGTGCTGGAGAGCAGAACGAAGATGCCGCGAACCAGAGATCATCGGATAACGACCCATACTGTCCAGCTCTGGGCAGCCCTGCGACTCACCTCTCTGGCTCGTGCCTCATTTAGCCGGTCATGTGATGGTCCTTTTGCATATCGGCCGCATTGTATATGACCCGTCAACGAAACTGTTGATTGGGAGTCGAGTTGTTGTATAGGTGTGTATGATGTGTTGATACGCCTCGAGCCAAGGCGGATGCGGCCCTTACGGAGACGACCACAACGTGTCATGCATCAAGTAACCCTTTGGGGAGCTATGCCGCAAGGCCTTACGTGTCATAACCTCATTCTATCAAGTGCAGACTGCGCCCATTTTCTTGCAGCAAAGTTGTAGCCTTCTCTGCGACAATTACGCTCGTTGTTATGTGTCTTCACGCACGAGACCCGCCGGGTTATTACCTCTCTCTGTGGCAACATCATTTCCTTCGTTTCATCCAAGGCATCAATATCGCTGACGCCGCTGATCGACTCCTGCTCCAATGGCACTAGACAGAAAGGCGAAGTAAAAGAGCTCTTGGCTCGGCTAAGAGAACCGCCCTACAAGAACCGAGCAGGAAATATCCTCACATGCCTCGATGTTACGTGCCGCGTAGACTCGATTGCTTGTTCCTGACCGCCGCCGAAAAGAAGTCGGTTTATCAGCGTCAACAGAACTTGAGCCTAGCCACTGATATTGCATGCGGCCGTCATTCCGCTCGAAATCAACAGTCAAGCCTGCTAGCCACGAGGCCCAGGATGTGATGCACAGGGATTTTGGACACGCTGAACATCTTTTGGCTTTACAGTAGACCGGCACCACCCTCTCCTGGTTTATGCACGTATGGCGCAGCTACAAGTCCGTTGCGACAGGGTGGCTTGGCGACCCCTGCTTCATTGGCAAGGTGGCCTCCTCGCGTCTCGGCTCAGGGACAGATGCAACGTGACCAACGTACAGGAGTGGACAGCAGATGCGGCCAGGGCTAGACCGGGTAGCAATTCCACTCTCGGCTAAGGCGAACACGACATGTCATGTATAGGGTACTGTCCTCAGTCCCAGGCAGCAGAGTCGCGTATTTCTGCGCGCTATTTCCACTCTATATAGAGCGACTTTAACCCTCATCAACTGCAGCATTGTCGCACACCTTGACGCAATAATAACGCGGTCTGTGGTGTGGCCTCGCTCCTATTTTCTTCGTATCGTTCCTTTCCATCTTTCAGCATCCTCTACCGATATCGCTAAGTGTCATGCCCCAATGGCAGTAGACAACAAGACGAAACGCAAGGAGCTTCTTGCTCAGTTGAGAGAGCTGCCTCCCCAGAACAGAGCAGAAGATGTCAGCGCCCTCCTGGAAGCTAGGCGCCGTGGAGACAAGAGACGACCGAGTCGGATCTGCGGCGACCTGCTCCCGTATCGTTACACGATAGACCAAGAAGTCGACTTGCGCGACGGCGTCGTCTCAATCTCAGTGTTTGCCAATCTGGCGCATTATCTTTCGAAGCAAGACGTGTTGGCCCTGGCTCGAGACTCTTCTCTCTTCGAGAAGGCCAAGGAGTTGTTAAAAGACAAGGATCTTCCGTCATCGTGGTCAGATTGTCTCCGGGAATGGAGCACAACGAGCCCAGAACTGGGGCTGGAGTTCTATTGTGGTGCGTTTGAATCCATAGCCGAGGCATCTGAGACTGACGGAACTCCCCTAGAGATACGAGGTATGAAGGCGAATCCTCGAAAGCGAGGAAGCGAAACTCCGGTCCCTGAACCAAAGAGGCAATGTGTGGCCCTGCCAGACACCCGCGATGATGATGCCCAGGGTCATCCACCATCCGCCAACGTTGGGCACGTCCGCGAACAGCCAGAATCCGGGCCCAGTGTTTTTGGAGCCATCTCGACAAACGCTGCGACATCGCCATCTGCGTCTGAGCTAGGAACGGAGCAGGCACCAGGCACTCAGCCGGTGGACAGCACCGCCCCAAAGGATACGAGTCACCCCCAACCGACTAACACAGGCGACCGTAAAAACCTCGACAACCAGCCAACCCGGACCCAGGACACTCAGAAGAAAATCATGTTCATGACTCTATCCCGATGTCGTGTGGCTGTCTATCCGGTTCAAGTGTTTCCCGACTTGATTCAACAGACGAGCCAAGACATGCAGTTTCGACGCCGAGAACCTGGAGGGTGTATCTATCGCTCAGATCTCATCAGAAGTCGCGCAGGCCAATTTCATATCCTGGTCTCTCATGAAATTCTGGGCAAGCTAGGACGAAGTCGTAAGGGTGAGATGCACGTCACATCCCCCTTTTTGTTGATGCTAACGAGACCATAGACCAGGATTGCGTCGTAGTTCCCACGTCGCTGGCGATACGTCTGTTCGTGGTTGGAGATTGCCATCTTGCTACGTCTATATTTTGGCCTACTAGAGGAAGCGTCACTCATATTAGAAAAGGCTGCGATGTCGTGTGGGAATCGTCTCCAGATTGGGTACTTTTCTTGAAGCACCTATCAACTATACGGCCAAACGTGCCTGAGTTGTGTTCCTTGCAGACAATGCTCTTTTCGTATCCCGTCAGTGAGAGAAGACCAGGCGTTAGACATGAGGCTCCTCATGCAACTTCTTTTTCCTGATATACTCCACACAAGCATTATCCACATATAGACCGCGTTTTGGGACCGGATACAGCCAGACTCCATCGACCTCCGCGTATTGTCCTGTTATAACACCGTATGAATCGTCATCCGCAAATAGCACAATGCCTTCGTCTTGAATTTCTCGTCCCTTCACATCGGTCGTGACGTATATGAGCACGGCGACAGCATCGTCGGAAGCATCGTGGAACTCAAGTTCGCTGGCGTCTGCTTCATCCTTGATCTAGCACTCAGGTTAGCCCAGTTGTCATGGTAATAACGTGGTTCGTACCAAACTAGCAGCCCTCTGCAAAATCTGCGTTCTTTCTCCAGCTACCACCTTTTCTGTTACATCTTCTCCAACCTGTATCTTCTGCGGAAACAATGACAGAGCAGTTGTCATTGGATATAGGAAGGTGAATACAATTAGCGTCCTCGTGAATACCGCCTGGCCGTGCGGTGTCGTTAGCTACGACTTCGAACCGCTGAGGCTGTGGTCGTCTGTTCTAGGTTTGGTGGGGCTAGGAGGGGCAAGACTTGTCGTTCGTCTTTGATGGGAAGAGTCGCCGGCGCGTTCGTGGCGCTGGAAGTATGATCGAGTGCGAAAAGACCGTTGTCAAATTTGTGAAGTTTTGTAGCGTTCGGGTGGCTTCACAGGCTCGTGAGACATCGTAAGTCGATGAGAGGAGTCTACCTTCGAAGGTGAGGCTGAGAGCGATTGGATCGCGGACTGCCAACGGAGCAGACACAGAAATCACTGTCATCGGTGAAACTTTGATCCGTGACGGGGTCCATTTGCAAGTGCAGGAATCGCGCACTGGCAATCGCGAGTTTGTCACCTACCCAGTTGCAGAGTTGCAGCGCAGCATTTTCCAGGTTTGCAACCACGGGGATTGGGGTTTCAGCGCACGGCGCAACGCGATGTTAACCCCATGTCCACCAACCGTCGGCTGAGGTGAAGCGGGAATCGAGCAGGCCAGACTGTAGTTAAAGAGACCTTCCCCCACGACTGAACAAGCTGTCCCTCTCTGCTTAATTAAGACGCCACGCTTGAACACGTAAAAGTCGAGTCAGTGAGATAGACTACTTACGACATAGACTTACCTGCCATCCTTTCATACAGGACTGCCTGAGTGGTAGTAAGACAATCCAATGGAAGTCTTATGACGAGGGAAGGCGAAAAACGACAAGTTTTATACATCACCCAGGATGGCACAATAGGCAAACTGGTCAAGTCACGATGTATCTGATGCAACCCGAAATGCTGAGCCTTCGAGCAGACATCGTTCGCTTCTCTGTCCATCCCGTGCGTGACCTCGTTTGGCAGTTCAAACTGATCATTGGAAATTGTATGGATGCCCTTTTGACTTTGAGCGTGGGTCTGGCGAAAACCAGACAAGTTTGACTCACATCTCCATGGCTGCCCTTTGCTCAACTGGCTTTGGCCCCGTCGCTTGGAGGATCTCAGGGCACCGCCGCGGCCTGCTTCGCTCGTCCCTCTGGTGACTTGACCGTACGAATGGGTCCTTCAGGCCGGGCACTCGGCAATGCCACTCAAACTCTCGTCGCCGGCCATGGCTCGCCCATCACCTGTTCAATCGATATCGACATCACTGAGGACGACCTGATTGTTGTTTTCCAACCAGACGATCCGAACTTAGCTGCAGATCTAGCGTATGCGAGCACTCACTGTTCACAGCAGCTTCGAGAAGGAGCTTGTGGGCCTGAAGTGCCAAAAGTGCTGGGTAAGCTTGTCCACGGCTCGCCGCGCTGCAAACCAACTAACGAGATAACCAAGCTAACAATGAACCATGGCTATGCTCGACTTCTCCTGTCCAGGGTGTGCCCCATTGGCCAAGACTTGCACCGACATAGGTCATCTGGTGGAAAACGGCGGCAGTGACGGCCATTTTCGGCCCAACACCCAAAATGCTAACATTGTTGAACATTGTTCACTTTCTAGAAGTATTTAGGCATAGACTGTCAGGCGATAAGCACTCTCGCGATAGCAATGCTCCGGCGGCCGAACATGGCATCTCAAAGTTAGCGTCTCGCCAAGAAGCGAGACAGGTCTGGTGAGAACTTTACCAAGGCAACGAAGAGTCTATTAGCACGATGCGACCGCCTAAGAGAGCGATATAAAGCCGACGTTTACATTCAAGTCCGTAGGATGCACAAACACTACACCTATGCTTCATCTAATGAGCCGTCCTGGCCTAAGACAAAGGCGGAGATGGTGAGTACTGCTGCAGAGCAATCGCCCAATGTTAGCATTGTGAAGGACAGGATGTACCCCGTCCCCGTGACAAGAACACCCCAAGATTTTGATAGTAAGCGAAATCGCGTATCGACCTTCCATACACCACAGAAAACCGCGGCAGAAGAAAAGACGCCTCATATTGCAGTGGGGGGATCGTCACACGTAGATCGTCGTAATGTTCTGGCTCTGAACCATTAAGAAGATGCATATCCGTGTGACAAGCCAGTAGGGCCAGAGACGATGTCTCCAGGAGGGCACAGCACGCGCTGCATGGAAAACCACTCAGAAGAAGTGACAGCTCAGAAGATGGATGTGGCAAAACTAGCTAGCTAAATCCAAAGCGTCTCCACAATCAATTGCCGCCCCCATTCGTGGAAGCCTCCCAAGTGATCAATTCGAAGGCCTGCCTGGATTCCAGTAGCGCTGTTGAATCCCCAGAGACATCACACTTGGCAACGGGCCCATGCTATCCCGACAGCAGGGGTCAAACGGCCCTCATCACCTGTTTCCAGAGGTGGGAGACAAAGGCGCCACTCCTGACAACGACAGCCAATATGGAGCCAGGGTAGATCGCTTTGGATGGCGCGTTTGGTTCGCCCGAGCAAGCCCATTCTGGCACGCTGGCTTCGGTACCTGCTGCGCTTGGAGCTGATTCCGATGCTAGTTGGAAGCGCTTTACAGCACAGACATAAGCCATAGACACCCGTCGTTGCTTGCTAAGATCAAATGCAATCAGCAGAAAGTGGCTGTAAGTAGGTAGCCTCAAGTAGCTTTTTTGCGAGACCCTTGTACTATCCTTAGAGCTAGGCCTAACACGACATGCTGAATGCCCCAACGAGGTGGACTCCTTTGGTTCCTAGCGCATGGGTTCCGATGGGCAAAGTGTACATTATCGACTGGCTGCGACCCGAATCGATTACTCCAGAAATGACTTTTGCTTGGAATGGACGAACACCGAGGCGTCGCCATTGAACCATGAACCACATGTCCGAGATGGATCTCTTAACTTATCGTTAGCCGCACGGGGACGATGCTCCATCCAGTTTCCACCATCACCATCTGGAGAGATTTGTGGACGTGTCCTAGTCGGATTACATCTGAGTCTCACACAAAGTCAACGACGATATTGGCCTCCGCTTGTATCAAAGCCTCCCTAGGTACTTCTGGTCTCCCATCCAGACGGTAATCAGCGTAAAGAGGACGGTCAAAGTGCACATGCTGCGTAGCTGTAATCAAGGACAGCCGCAATAACTTGAGTGCTTGCAGGAAGTGGCGTCCAGAACCAACGAGCTTTTGATGGGGGATCGAGCAATGCGTTCAGACGAACGGCAAAGCATCTCACAACGCACGAATCAGCGCCTAAGCTTACGTTCCTCGAGCCTGATTACCGAGTCCTCCCTTACAACTCACGAGCTAACGCAGTCATAATCAGCTAATAGGAAGATCAATGAACGCTTCTAGTTTCCATACAGGTCAGGCCACTCTCGTAGGGAACCTGCTCAAGCAGACTCCCGCGTGTGCGGCTTTGCTTGAGCTCGTTTTCACGTGGGCGGCTCTGCTTGAGCGGAATCCTGCGCAAGCAGCTTTGCCTGGGCGGCGTTTCTGCGCGAGCAGGCATGCCGAGGCAGTCTTCTGCGTACGCAGCTAATCTACTGACAGATTTCATCAGGGTCACGCCTGCCCGAGTTGAGGCAGCCACAGCGCAAGCTCCCCACTCGACCCAAATTTGGGGCAGAAGTCCATCGCGATGAAGGGTAGCGAGCACCAACGAAACCGTCCGGAAAGCGACCCGACGCAGATTGTCTAGTTTCGGGGCCGCTCTGGGGTGTGGAGAGATGCTCCACGGTCTCCTGAGAATGGGAAAAGGACCCATCGCGGGGCTGCAGTAACCATGTCAGCTACAAGGTCCATCATTGCTGGAAACTCGCGGTCGAATTGGGTACGTGCGAGGTCCGTTTTCTCGCCCGTTTTCACGCCCGTGAACGCACTGGCGGAGGTCTATGTTCACGTCGTGGTATCTGGTTTGTCTGAAGATGCTATCTAGGCGCTGATGTGATTGCTGTGCGTCACTCTACGAACTAATCGTGGGCCGACTCGCTCGGCTCTCGTTTGACTCTTCTCAATCGCTAGGAAGCAGTTTGCGTCGGGGAAGCGCTCCGGCACGTCACCTATGGCCCTGATCCGTCGGGGGTATGCCAAACTATAACCGGTGTAACGAATCACAGCACCAGCAGCCCGAGGCTTCTGAGGCCTTGCAGAGGCGGCCAGGCTTGCACTGGGTTTTGGTTGCAGATGTATATAGGCTGCACAGGCCATTTTTCTGTGATCCGAGTGGCTCAGTGGCCAAGGCGGCCGCTGTTGCCAAGGTCGAAAACTTTTGGGCCTGGCCTTGGCGAGGTTTCCAAGTATTGAAAAACGGGCGCTTCTGCCTAGACAGGCGTGCATGGCGCAAACAACAGTCTTGCCAAAAATAGACAAGCGTTGAGGCAGCAACAGCGAAAGCCGGCGAGTGATGCGACCCACGGCAGCACACTCACTCCTCTTCCACAACAGCGAGCGGGAATCGAGGCGACGTGCGCTCCTTCCGAAGCCGAAGGCGACAGGTTTGCTGACTATGGTCAGCTCGCCTGTGCGTGGATGTGTTTGACCCTATCTCTGAGGAGAAGCAGCTTGCGAGTTGACGACAGGATGATTTGTTTGATTTGCACAATGTGGGCCGAGATGCTTGGCTAGCCGTAACCCAGTCCGCGCCGGAGGGCATCGGAGCCGGCGCAATGCCCTCATCTTGCGTTGCTCCGTCCGGTCCTCTTTTCTGAACCGGTTTTGAACCATACATTCCCGGACGATGGAAATGCGCTCGGGGGACACGATTGTGGTCCCCTAAGTAAGGGCATTGAGCTGTGGCTCACAGTTTAGATTGTCATCTTGAAGTTCGCTGTGTCTCTGACGCTAAACCTATGGTATTGGCTCGCGTCCCGACACTCTGATTTGCATCTCGTACCGAACGTCAACTTTCGATGAATTGTCACACGGCAGCCATCGCGCCATGTTGAAAGCCATCTAAATGTTAAATTCATGGTATCGTTCTTGTCGCCGACTGATGCGGCCACCATACACGCCCCCAGCCGCCAAGGCTAGAAAGCAATCATTTGAAAGCAAGGTCGAGCTGGTCGGCATCCTGTACTATTAACGGAAATTCCCTTCCCGATGGAAATACAGAAGGAGAGCATAGGGAAGTGAGCCTAGGCTCTTGATGGTTGTCTTGGCTTCTTCATCATCTAACAGGTCCTCATGTACCGCGAATATCTCGATGACAGCGTCCCGGAAACCTCGATCAGTATCGATGGTGGAGGTGTAGGCCTCGGTAGCCGCACATAAAAAATCATTCGGCTCCCAAGCCTGTGCAGCAGCATCCTTGAATTTGGCTACGGCGAGGTCCTTGAGACCATCAACGGCATACTTTTCTGCGATTGTATACACCTTGGCGTGTAGAAGGAGACAAGTTATGCTTTCAGCCTTGCTTGGCTCTAGCTTTGGCGATTGTAAAAGGCTGTCTGTGTAAAGCGATTGTCGGTAGTCCAGGAGGTAAAAATATTGCATCATCATATCGACGACGCATGGTTCTTCGTCTGGAAGGTGGATCGAGTTGTCGAAAGACTCCTGTATCGCCGCCTACATTAGTACCAGAGACTTTGCGCGCGAGGAAAGACATGCGAACTTTGAAAAGACTACGGCATGCGGCAGCCAGGAAGTTAGACCGTGGACAGACAATAGCGCGGTGGACGGAGTAGGTTTTGGCAACGGAGGATATCGTCAGATCTGAGTAGATCCCGGTTGTGTAGATCCCGGTTGTGTAGAGCCTGGGATACTGTGAGCGTAAGGCTAATCAATAGGATGAATAGAAAGCGATCTTCACCTCTCGAGACATTCGACGAGGTCTTTCTGGGGTCGGCCGATGGAAGCCATCGCGATCTGGGCCAGAACTGTCGCGGAGGGTGGAGCAGAGGCGGTCGCCGGTGATGTGGGCTCTTCGTCTAGGAAGAGCTCCGGAAAAGCTCTGCAAGCATAGGAGGAATGCTCGAATATCCTATCCTTCTGAAGTGACCGTAATATGGTAGTTAAGCGTTCGGTAGAAAAGCCGGGGACCCAAAGACCGCGTTCGCGGACGACGGACGCAATAGCCTTCCGCTGGCGCAGCCGACCGTGGTTAAGTCCAGAGAAGATAGCTTTGCAATCGGAGTCGCGGTAGACACTAATTCTTTCGGATCGGGAGGGCTCTGCGTACACACTGCGATCCTTACGCCGCATATCGGCTGTAAGGACTCTCCAATAACGCAGAGCCGTTGCACAGGTGAGAGGCCATGGTAATCGTCAGCCGACACTGCTAATAGACTGTCACCCATGCGATTGGGATGCATTAATCGGGCGGTGAGCTGAGGCAGAATTGATATGTCCTGGGCGGGGTAGAGCTTTTTGGGAGCAAGCACGGCCTCGTGCCTTGCTTAAGGGTAATCCAGACATAAACGTTATCTTCCCAGTTGCATCACCCCGCTTCTCAAAAATTTCGAGAAACATGATAATTGCCCTGCAAGACTTCGCCACGTTCAACAACGTCCACTATCTTTCTTCCATTCTCCTCGAATCTCGCACATCATGTACCTACCCCTCGGTGTAGCGGCTCGGATCATTTACAAACCCACTTCCGAATACGCTGAGAATGTTGTCTCTTCGGCGGCTGATGGCCTATCCATCAGTCCGATGTTGAGGGGACTGGCATATGAAGGAAGCCTAGGTTCAGGGCTCAAGCAGTACTGGGGCGCCTTCAGGGCTTGGCTGTCCCAGCCACGTAAGCGGCCGCTGCTCAGTTCCATCAGAAAAGCAAGCTTTGCTGGCTCCGCTAACCAAACTCTTCAGAGATCATCGTGTTGGTAATGACATGGGCGATTGTATTCACTGTCGTGAGCATTGCCATACTCGGCCTCGGATTTGGCTCAGCCGGAGTGGGCGCCGGTGAGTCGCTACGTCGATCCCTGCTGTTGACGTTCTTGGCCATCTCCAAGATAGCTAACTGCGTGGCGCAAGGAACTCTCGCTGCCGTTTTCCAGTCTTCTATGTATGGAGCTTTCACTCCTGCGGGAGGCCTATTCGCGACGCTGACAAGCATGGCCATGTTAGGAACGTTGATGCCATGGGCTGCTGTTGTTTCTGGGGTTCTTGCGACATTGGCTACAGGTATAGTGTGGGGATATGGTGTAGGAGGTGGTTAGTGCGCATACGAAGTGGATTCCCTGTCTGGCACCAAATGAGGCTGCGGTGGAGATGCACGATTGTGCATTGGTCTATGTTCAAAGACACGATTTACCAATTCAGGCCAGGCATATCCAAGCCTGTAGAAATCCCCGTGAACTGACCTGGGCCCATTTCATTCGATCCGCATCTGGATTCATCCACTAAGCAGTACTGAGGAGGCAAGATCCACAAGTCGCTACAACCACGTGGTCGTGGACCTTTCTGACGATTTAGGCCAACCCCCCTGGGCTACATACACCCCGAGCGGATGCAAAGATGCGGACGCCTAAGCCTCTCTGATGCAACTGGGACGCCTTTTGGTCTTTCTGGCATCTTATCCCCTGAGCATTGTCCCATGTCTCGTTTGGTCTACCCCTGAACGGCCATTCCAGAATCGAGGTACATAACAGAGGGTGCCTCAATTCCAGAATGCCTAGAGATCGACAATTGAGAAAACAGGAGTCCACCTCAATTCCAGAATGCTTAGAGATCGAGAATTGAGAAAACAAGAGTCCACCTCAATTCTAGAATGCGGTCGTTCCAGAATCACGATGATTCCAGAAAGGAAGTACGCCATGGGTGTGCTGCGATTCTGGAATGCCAGTGATTCCAGAACGAGGGAATATCCCTGATGTACTGAGATTCTGAAATGGGGTGATTCTAGAACACCTGCAGCTTTGAGACAACAGGAACACATCATGATTCTGGAATCAAGGTACATAACGTGAGAACCGTAATTCTGGAATGAAATGATTCTAGGATCGGGCTATGAAGTACGTACAAGGAAAGTTGTGCAGATACAGGCATACGCGAAAGTATTGGAGTGTTTGCCCAGGTTAGTCTGGAAGGAAGGGACAAGGCGGACGTACCGAAGAGGTGCCTGGCATGGTTACATGCAACTTGTGTCATCACCACACCCTGCTGACAACGGTGTAGTCTGTTTCAGAGCTGCAGTCCCATCCAGGGTTATTTCCAGAACCCGTAAACAAAATGTAGTCTTTGCAAATCCTAAATGCATTCTTGGAATACCAGATTCAGCAGCTTTCTTTCACACTAGAGGAATTTGAAAGGGGCGGCGGCTAATGAAACAGCCCCTGCGCCGTCGACGACTGGTCCCTCTGTGCAGCAACCCCGGCAAAGCTTTTGATTGGCTGCTCGCGGGTTGTCTTTCTGCCACACTGCGTCGATTGTTTGGCTGCCTCAACGGGGACTGCCGTTGTCGAAAGTCGTTCTGAGCCATACGATCTGGTGCCATCTGGTGGAGGACTCCCGCGAAGATTTGATTGGCTGGCCAGTCAGTCGAATCCGATATCAGTCTCCTTATCATGCAATGCTTAGCTAAGCTGACGTAGATTACGATCGCTGATTTCGGTTTGGGGGGATTCCTCTACGTGACTGTGTCGCGACGGCTCCCTCTGATACAGCGCCCCCCTTTGACTTCGTCTGCGACCCTTTTGTAGGATGGCTGGCGGGCAGCTGCCATTGGTTAAGAAGTCTGCGCAAGTAGTGTCTTCTCAACGCGGGACCCGCAGGCCATCGTTTTTGACGTTGAGGTGCCCGGCCCAGGTAGCGCTCAAGAGCGTAAGTGCAGAGAAAAGCGCAGCATGAGTCATCTACATAGGGTCCCAGCTAATTGATGTGAGTAAAAACACGATACATCAAAAACAGAATGAACGAATTCTACTTCGTGCGATCTCTTCTCGAGTTGCGTCACAGCGCCACGAAGTTCCGAGACGTATTCATCGATCCTTTTGCTCCATCGAGAAAAAGCAGCTGGCTGCATCCCGAAGGCGTCGAATGTCTCCGTTTTCCAGTTGACGGTTGCAAGAATCCAATGATTTCTGTGGTGATCCGACATCTGATCTGCCGCATTGACGTTGATTGGCAGTACGATGCCGTCAAAACCCTTGGCGAACGCGAAAGCGCCCGAGGTTAAGAACGGCTCTGTGAACCTCACAAGCAATGGATCTATGATCTGAAGTGTAGAGGTACAACACACTAATTGAAGCATGGCAAGGAACACAACGTCGTCAACATACCGTCCTGGACAAAATTGACCAAGCCTTTCTCTGAATTGAGCTTGGTTTCGGCACGATAACCAACCGACGTGGGCATGCTCGACTGCCCGGTCAATCAATCTCACGATGCTCTTCGAAGAAGGCTTACCGTTGGGTCTTGGCTTGGTGGCGGAGTCAAGATTGTGATTGGAACTGACGTCTATCATAGACGCGGTATCCAGGTCGGGGCCATACCTGGGGCTATGTTCTGTTGTTAAGTCAACGAAACACACGTCACGGGATGGCGGAATCAATCCGAGGAATCGCCTAGGTATCTCCACGATGTCGTGCGATGGACCGGGCAATCTGCGTTTCTCGGCACCCCTCCCTACTTCAAAAGATGGGGTCGGGTCGGTTCGGCATTCTCTTCCAGCGGCACAATCATTTCGGGTCAAACTTGCGATGTTCTCTGCTGTCAGTGTCGAATTGAGAGGCACATCGGACGCTTCTTGCCTGCCAGTGACGGTAGAGGAAATAGGCGACAAGCGAATGGACAGAACGTCTGCTTCCACGGCGCCTGGCTTGCCATCGTCGGGTCCTAAAGGGAATATTGGTATTGGTTAGGACAAATAGATCGGCCTAAAGCTTCAAGATCGGCCATGCTCACCGAGGCAACTGAGATGTCGCTCAATGGTTTCGTCAAGAAACTCGACTTCAGCCCTGACTCTGGATAGGGAGCAGAAGATCGCATCATCTAACGGTTGCTGCGAGTGATCTAGCAACGCCTTGACGCGCTTGAGAAGGAGAGGAATAGTAGTAAGGCTGTCTATCAAGTCATCGCATTCCTTCTTTGACGACATGGCTGTGGCGGCTTCGCAGACTATGAGCATCTCTCACAGGAAGAGGCACGGATTCTCCGTCTATGAATGAGGGAGGGTCTGATGCTGTACCATGAGGCACTGGGACAATATATAGAAACGCCGAATCCAGATGAAACCCTATGCCAATAATTGCCTTACGCCTCGTTTCCTCGTCTGACTTATGCCTCACGGCGCTTATGTCCGTCCAATAACAAAAAGTTCTGCGTGCTGGCTAAGCGCCGCCGTCTGATAGGACTGGGTTGATGCCTTGTTGGTCTCCTTTTCCTCAAGTAAATCCAGCTGCCTTGTTTTGCTATATTTCTCCATCGAGTGCATGCGCTCTTGCTATGTGGCGGCGCAACTCTTTTCGGACTTGTCGAAGTGATAATCCGCGGAAGCATGAGCGGTATTCTATTCGGTCATGGCTGATAAGAGCGGGTTTCAAGCAAGGATCAAGATCCGCTATAGTTGTGTGTCGTCTGCTCTCAATGCGATGGCGAAGCCTCCCTGTGTGGTCAAAGAATCCATATACAGCTTGACGTAGTTGAGAAGAGTCTTTCGTCGCCCCCAGTTTGACATGCTTGTAGGTCATCTCGGCAGGTATTTCCAGTGTGGAGGTTGGACTGGTCGTCTTCTGATGGCTCTTTCGGCGCCCTGATCGATTTGATGTTATCTCGTCTCGAGGTCGTCTGCTGTTTCGTCCGTTCTTGCTTTGAGAGTGATCGGCGGTCAGATGAGAGTCCTTCACTGGATCCTTCTTAGTCAAATCCCCGATTGACGAGATGATGTTCACCTTTGTAGGTACCTAAATAAATTACATCGTCGTCGACTCCTTCCTTGGTGGGCTGGCATTCAACAGTTGTCAGAGGCGTGGGATTTGAATCATTCATCTTCTGGTATCGTCGCGCCAGCTTTCGAGTTGGCTGAAGAAGCTCAGCTGATGAATTAAGAAGTTCAAATATGGGGAATAAATTTCGCGCGGTTAAGCCTGAAAGGCGGGCACACGTTCTTGATGGAGATGCCGGCGCGAGATTGACAATGAGCCCTTGGCTCCCTGCCCCGGGGTGCCTCAGGCGAACGTATGTTACATAGGAGTTGAGGGCGGGGTAGTGCAAACACCTGGTCCCAACCTGATGAAAGACAGGACGCGTCGAGTGCCAAGCCGACTTTTGAGTTGCCTGGTTACCCATGAGGCACTCCGCCAGGACAGCAGAGAAACGGTGTTAGGGTCCGATGCCGAGGCAGCGAGAGTCGCATAAGATCATGCATGGGGCGAAGCCAACGAGGGAATGCATCAAATAACTTGGATGTTCAGATCAATTGGATTGTACCTGCAATGGCTTGCCCCCTAGGCCTTCTTAATCAAGCCGCAAGCTAGCCTGTTGAAGAAAAACCAGGGGCCGTTCATGATACACCGACGGGGCACCAGCAGGATAACAATGTGGCGCCCCACAGCAACCCGCACACCGACGTGCTCCTGGGTTTCGAGAAGCGCTGCATAAGCTGCCTTTGCCATCAGAATCAGCGTCTTCAGCCATCGTGTTTAAATTGCGAGCATTATTCTTGATCTGTCACGGCAAGGGGGAGATAATGTATGAAGTAACTGAGATGTGGGTGCTTCTGGCGAAAGCGGGGGAGACTGCTGCCTGAGGTCTTGTAAGAATGCACTTAGCGCATCACGTGGAAACGTGGCTAACCTTGTGACAGTTTGTGCTGACTGTGTAGTCGTGCTTCCAAGTTACCCCGCTCTCCTCTACTTTCTATTGTGAAGCTTCAACGCCAAGATGCATCCCCCAAAGCACATCTCTCAAATGCATCTCTCAAATGCATCTCTCAAATGCATCCCCCAAATGCATCCCCAAAGGCATCCCTCAAAGGCATCCCCCAAAGGCATCCCCCAAAGCGCATCCCCCAAAGCGCATCCCCCAAAGCGCATCCCCCAAAGCGCATCCCCCAAAGCGCATCCCCCAAAGCGCATCCCCCAAAGCGCATCCCCCAAAGCGCATCCCCCAAAGCGCATCCCCCAAAGCGCATCCCCCAAAGCGCATCCCTCAAATGCATCCCCTAAAGCCACATCCCCTAAAGCCACATCCCAGACTACGATGCCCAGGACCATCACCAAAAGCACGCAAAACCTGCTCAGAGAGCGGGTTGAACCCTGCACCGTATTCGGAAAGACCCGTGTTCGGCTTCCTGACGATGAAGAGAGGGCATTGGCTTTAGAAGTGGGATAGCGCGCTTTCGTGGATTTGTGCCAACGCATGTCTGTGCATGCGGATTACATTATAAGCTGACGTGCCTAGGCGGAATCGAGCTCCGGCAGTTGTGCATTTGCACAATCATTTGCACAAGCAAACTTGAGGTCTCGCAGACAAAATCAAGTTGAGGATTTTGCGTGACATCATTGCACCTGCGGCCGAGAACCTCTCCGCTTCCGGCACAAGCGACCTGGATTGTCTGATTGAGAGCATGAAAAGGGATGAAAGCTTTCGCCGTTCATCGGTGATTTCAACGTCGGGCCACCCGCGAGATTGCAAACGGTCGAAATCTCTATAGAGGGGCACTCGCCGCGCTCGCCACCACCGAGCCAATCCGGCTTGTCCGTCGCAAAGAGGCTCTCATTCCCCATCTAGCACGATCACCGACCTGTCTCAATTCAAGATCATTACGCCGCGATACACGACAGGAACACAACGTACATGTCCAACCCGTACTTTCGATTTATTGAACTTGATGGAAAAGAGAATTAGATAGAATATGTATTCGATAGCGATGAACACTTTTATGCACCATTTGTATGCTAACGCACCTCACAAAGATTTAATCGTTCATCGGCCAGTTGGCGTTTTACTTGGATTTGAGGTCATCTCGTTTCCCGAAGCGAGCCGGGCCGGCAGTAAAACGTGAGCTATGAACACATGCCATTGCTTGTTTGCTCTACTGTACCATTGCAGCAGTACGTTTGTTAATTATGAATCTCATTAGTCATCACAGATGTATCGGCAATCCCTCGCATACATGTGACCGTCAATTTGGCAATCCGCTTGCCAATCGCACCATTAATAGAGATGCGTTACCTCGTCTCGCGTGAAAGAAGGAATTGACATCTGACTGACACAAAGCGTGAGGAAGCCGGCGATGAGTATCACCGGTCAAGAGTGCGTGTTTGAATGAGAAGCGCCAAGGCCCCGTGACGGCCAGTACCAAAGGGCGTGCCAACCGTACGACCCGTCGACGAATCCATACACTCTTTCAAGCCTCTCTGATGTCAGCATCAAGCAGTGCGATATCTCTGCCGCCCCAGTGATGCCAGTATCCGTCGACCATCGCTGAATTACGAAGCCGCGCAGACCTTTCGGTGATACTTGTTCTTTCTGGGCTGCCCTCCCATGATACCCGAAACATAACTTTACGACCCTTGCGTCTGCCCTTTATTGCTAGGACAATCCAGTGCGAGTGGATTGCCAGAATGTGCCACTTGGCACGCTGATGTTCTCCCAAGCACGCACGATGCTCAACACTCGATGTATACGCCAACCATTCGTCTGGGGCGTTAATCTGAATTTCTCGCTCCGGCTGCCGCGACTTCGCATGGTTTGGCCGAAGAACGCAGAGCTCTATTCGTGACCGATCGCGTCGTGACACTCTGTGTCCTATCAATCGAACAACATAGATACGTTGGTGGTCGGCAGGCGCGGCCGTGTGGTGCATGGGAGTATCTGCATGTTTGAACTGGAAAGTATCGCCGGAGCTCTGGTTCCCAGAAGAGGGGGAAGAGGAATACTCGGCTGTCTTTGTCTCGTTCGAAGCCACGACGTTAGGGATCCGGACAAGCTCGGCTCGTTCTTGCAGGCTTGGGAAAGTTGAAAAGTCAGGTCACAACCAAACCAGGCAGCGTGGGGAGCGACTTACGACGTGAGAATCTTCCATCTATTTCTGACCGCCTGACGCAGCAGCCCGATGCTTTTCCAACTTCTTGTCGACAAGTGTTTGGGCGGTGGCGCAGGTCTCTGATGCAATCCCAGAAGGCGATGCATTTCTGTTTTCTGGAAAGCGATGGAACCTGTTACCCGGAGATAACTCTGGACTCGCCCCGCCTGTTGACCCATGCGTTAACCCATTCTACTGCGTGCCGAGGGGCTGCATGCTGGCTTGGCCGCGGAAAGTCCAACACAATCCTGCGCTGGCCAACGGGCTCCTTTGCGCATTCGGTATAGCGTGTTAGATGGACAGGCTTTGACATCACTGGAATATAAGTGTTATATAACATATCTCAACACAACACAAGCAAAACATAACGAATGCTCAAGGATCACCAACTAATGTAACGAGTGGCCTTCGCGCGTTGTAGTTTGCAGCTATTCGAGCGTCAAATGACAGTCCAAGAATATTATAGAAAAGCGCCAGAACCTCACTAGCATGATCTCAAAGACAGACCATAGGACAAGAAAAAGAAGCACCATTCTCCATCTATCTATCTCTCACGATGTCAACGCCAAGCCGCTCGCTGCCGGGCCGGGATGAACCCGAGCGCTCTTCGTCGTCAGATGGGTCCGCAGCCGCCCCCCACTCAGCTCCACTATCTGGCTCTAGTCACCCTGGGGTAAGCATTGCCCATTCTCTAGCCTGCATCGCTAACATTAGCAGCAGACTAGCCGTGCGTCATCTGAGGCTTCGTCAGACGAGACGCAGCATGAAGCAATCCGGTCTATCCTATTCACCGATCATGAGCAGTTCGAAGCTCTGTCGTCGGAGATGCAGCAGAAGGTTCTTGAGGCATTCGACTGGCTCTTACTCTCTCAGGAGACACAGGACAGTTTGGAAACAAAGCGACGCGCAAAGCAAGCCGAAGCTAACGCAAGGCAGGCCGAGGCTGACTGGTTGGCCAACGCCATACGATTGATGAAGGATGGCGACGACGATGCCATCGAATTTCTGCAGAGCGTTTTGCTGGGTGATGACGACCAGCGCGACTGACTTCCCCTGGGGCTAGACTCCCACTGAAGGGCAGCGATCAGCGAGCGTATGTTGGGTGTTTGAGCCATTGTGCATGGCCAACAGATCTGGAGGAATCGGCGCTATCGCACAGGTTGCGATGATGAACTTACGTCTTGATTCCAATACAATGTGCAAGTTCGGATTTCAGCATAAGTCGTCAGTTAGACTGCACGAACAGTGAGATGATGTGGTGAAGCGTGAAGACTGGTTTGTGCAATCCGCAGTGAAGTGCATCCCACTTTGTACGAACGACGCCGGCTTTGGCGCGTCGCCATGACTCCCTTCTCTGCAGGGGACGCGTTGCCTTCACAGTACGATTCCTCTTTCCTATGCCTCTTCGTCACGGTGCATCTTGTATCTAGATCTAGAATGCCATAACTTTCACATGATTAAACGTTCACTATCGACAATTGGCTACTTGAATGCATACGCAACTTATTCCTCTACGTCCGCTTGTTGATCACTCTTCCTCTAGAGTCATTGACCGGCATTCCATTCATTGCCGGTGTTTGTGGATGTTGGATCTTGCAGCTTGGATCCAAACAACGGACACAGTGTAAGAGTAATTTCTTGACTTTTCTACGAATGTCATCAATCAAGGCACTAGGGACGCTCCTGGGACGTCAGTGGACAACGGTAGACAAGTTTGGACGTACTGGGGACGCGCCTGGGACGTCCACGGACAACGGTGAACGAGTTTGGACGTACTGGGGACGTACTGGGGACGCACCGGGGACGCGCCTGGGACGTCCACGGACAGAAGTAGACAAGTTTGGACGTACTGTGGACGCACCTGGAACGTCAGCGGACAACGGTGGACGGATTTGGACGTACTGGGGACGCACCGGGGACGCGCCTGGGACGTCCACGAACATAATTACCACATAGATATGAGAATGATGACTGCTGCACTGCTGCATCGGCCTCCCGTGTGGTCGCCTGATGCTGAACTCTGTCGTCGGGTGATACCGGGCAGGTAGGTGCATGCTCTGGCCCTGCAGTACATGGCATGATAGTGAAAATACCTTGGTGCCCTGCATAGCTGCTCGTGACGGATTTGCAGGCAGGAGATCTAGCAACAACACAGGCCACCCGCTGAGACCATTCCATTAGCACAAGACTCATTACGTCGAGGGAGTTGCACGGAAAATGCCAAGTACAATCAGTTCAATTATAACTCAGAGGATAACGCTGTCTACTGTATGGCTTCACAACACTGGGAGGCGATCTCCATGATCTATGTCGACTGTGCATACAGTATAGTATTGATCATATGTTGCTTCCTCTTGGCAACACACTTCATCTTTTTGGACTTGGCCCACACAGGCTGGGCCCATAGTCGTTCTTACTGTGTACATGCGACCGCGATCAGATGTGCGAGGATGACCGCTATGAAAGCCGGTTATGGATGCTTTGGAGTAGCTCTTGATTACGCGCTGCCACTCGCACTGTCGTTTGCCATCCTGACCCATATTTTGTCTGCAAACCAGTCGCTGTAGCCATTACCAGAGGTCTGTGGAGACCCATCACAGCAGTTTTCGGCTTTTCAAACATTGAGAGTGTTTGTGAGAGAAGAAGCGACATGTGCACAAAACTGTACCTTTCCCCGGAAATTGCTGTTTAGCCGCTGAGCCCTGGCCACCATATACTCCAAAGTTCCGACAACGGAGCTGGGGAAGGGCGGCAAGACCACACTTCGTCAGCCAAACTTTTTCTGGCCAGCAATCGAAAGCGTGTTCGGATCATGCCAGCAGCCGTTTGTGGCCAGAAGCATCTCCGCAGCCAAATGTCAACAGACTTCTGATGCCAATTTTGGAGCAATATCTTCGTCACCGGCGTGACTCCTCGAGGCAATGCCTTGTCGCGCCAGATGTTGCTTCAAAACGGCGTTGCCACCAGGATGTGCTCCTTTGAACATATCGTCGTACTCCTACACAAGTGGTCTGAGCCTTCTTGACCAGGCCCAGCTCTCCATGAACCCCATTGAAGCCCGAAAATGGCTTCGAACCGGTTGTCGCGTGCAGAATGCTGCAAACGTGTGAACAGGTCTGCATGGCCTCAAGGATACAGTACATCAGATACTTAAAAACAGGCTCAGTTGACACAACCGTCTTATTATTAAGGAAATCATACAGCGGTACTTTACGTAGTCCGTCTCATTTCTTGGAACGTATTCCGAGACAATGGCAGAACCGCAGGCTTATCGAGGGAGTTGCTCCACTGAAACGGAATTCTTTTTCAAAACCTTGCAACGTGGAGTGAACCTGGGGGACCGCCCCGACACTCGTTCGGAAGTTGCGCTCACTGCCCACAAAAAGCGATGCATGAGACAGGTTCTGGAACATCGGGGCTTTCATGCTGCATTTGAAAGATTGTCGCGCATTCCAGGAATGTGGCCGGGACTTGTGGTAGGAACCCTTCACAAAATCATCAGCTTGAGATGCGACGAGGTATGCATCGAGCCCTCCTGTTTCTATTGAAGCAATACACTGACCACATATGCAGGAATTACTGAGTTACCTCCACTTCGTCTATGATACTTGGTTGCAACTCGCCGGGGGCAACGAAAGTGAATTAGAGAAGATCGACTGGATCACCGTCGAGGCTGTTCAGCTTAGGTGTCCGAAATTTTCTGCGTCAGATGAGCAGGCGCTCCGTGGCATCATCCTCAGAGGCGATATTTTCGGTTATTTCAGCCAAGCCGAACGGGTAGCAGCATTCGCGAAGCTGTGCTCGTTCGACTTCCCGATTCCATCTCTGTCAACTTTCTTCAAAGATTTCGGCTATCTCGAACGGTGCGGCAATAGTATGAAGCATCTAGTCCCTATGAAGCGAAGGGGCCCGACTGTTCGGAGGATGCTCCTTCAGAGCTTTAACCCACCGACCTTGCCAGCACAGCCAGAAAGCCCGCTGCTAGACGAATTCGATAATCTTGAGGCTCAGTTTCAACTTGCTATGAGGCGACTATGGCTGTTCGCGATGAGGGAATTCCACTCCATTCGCACCGATCCTAGCCTCTTGCCAAGATTCGCAAGTCTGGCCGTTGAACTGGGCTTTGACAATGATGAAATTCGTTCTCTCAAAAAGCTTTCTCCTCATCGGGAGATAGCAAGGCAGGCAATGGCATTAGTCCGGTCTTCGCAGGACCAGGATTACAACTCCGTGGCAGACGAGGCTATCATTGGTCAAATTGCTCAAGCATTTTCCGGACACCAACATGGGCCAAAAAGACAGACCTACAGCGCTTTTACCACCAATGCAACCACTACGAAGATGCACGTGCGCCCATGGCTTGATTCCAAAGCGTATTTGATGGACCGCCCGAATCTTGTCGTTGAGGTCCTCGACCAACAGCCGATCGTTAAAAAGAAGGAAGTTACAAGTTTATTCCTTCTTCGATCGATCTACAAAGCCATTTTCCACAAAGATATAGCCTATCTTGCCGGTGGAAGCAGAGCAGAGCCAAGTCACAGTGAGAATCACCAACATGTCCAGAACCACCGGACAAAAGAGTCACGGGATCATGCGGCCACACGGCACGCAGATTCAACGGTCACACTTGATTCCACGAATACAAGAACGCGGCGGGTTAGACTGCAAATCACTCAAGCGGGAATCAATCGTGAAGAGCGCCATGTAGACATAAATCTTGACGACAGAAATGGGCCTAATCAAATCGGAAGTATCATTCAACAATTAATGGTACAATACCGTGTACTACCTTTCTCACCGATGGGCTACCCGCTGTTGGCGGAAGAATGCTACGGAGAAATTGTGCGAAAAGGCCACGACTGCCTTTACCTCACGGATGATAAGCGGGGGAAAATTCCGATTTAGGGATCTTGATGCATAGATTGACATAATCGAGTTTACGCCGTCAATAATCCAGCGTCCGAGCTTGTCCGTGAAACGTCCAAGAAATTTCTCAGGCCACCCATCACCGTTGTCCTCATGCCGTCCAAGCCTGTCTTTGGGCCGTATCCGTTGACGTCCCATGCGCGTCCTCGAACTTGTCCACCAATCATTGACGTCCCATGCGGGTCCTCGTGCCGTCCAAACTTGTCTTCAGCCATTCGAGCCTGCCCGCCGTTGTCCTAGAGTAGGATTGTATGTGAAGGCCAAAATAGCTGACTCTACCAAGAGCAAGGCTGAGAGCGATCGCGACTAAGCCGTCTTTGACGTGTCATCCTCGTATCTGGTAGCGGCCTAGACCTCCGATGGCATGCTGTTGTAGGAGTGGTACAATATTGTGCACACGTCAAACTGTACATTCCATCCTCTTCAAACATCTGGTAATGGCTGATACCTTCAGCTTGCACACAAAATATGAAGACAGGATGGCATGCTACGGTGCGAGGAGCGAGTCGCTGTAGGGTCTACTTCAAAGAATTCATCTTTGGCTCTGAATAGCAGGCCAAAATCCATCTCAGTATGCTGCGGTCTGTATACAGTATTAACAACTATGTGCAATTTAAGTGTCCCTTCTGCACTGATCGCATGCGGTCCGGGCGCACAGGCCGTGGGCACACTAGGAGACTTTGATGTCCAAGCATAAGCCATAATCATCCGTGACTTTGCGTCAAATTTAGATGGTAATCCAACCAGGGTAGGTAAGTCGACAAAGGTCTCGTTGAGTAGTGCATTGGTGGAGACTTCACAATGAAGTAAGAGGTCCACGGACCGCATAGGTTCAATATAGGCCGGTCGCAGTGCGGCGATGACAGCCCTTGCGGGCGGTTACCAGCAGGTTGAACGGTATAGGCCGCTACCCACGGACTACACTCAACAGCTTGCGCCAGTTATGACTCTCTGGACGATTGACCCGTGGAATCAGCAACATCCATTCTTCTTGCTTGTGTCCCCGGGCCGAGTGGGTCTCTTGGTGGTTGAGTCCGTGCGTAATTGGAGTCGCGTTGACTCCCGTGTCATCAGGCTGGGGTCTGATTTTACCGAACGGCGCGTTCTGGATCACCTAGGCCCAGGACAGACACATCTCCGTCCAAACCAGCTGTCACTAGCTGTCTAGATGGTTTCAAGAACCACTACTATCAGAACCCACAATGTCCTGAGACGAATCCGACTCTTCGAAAGAGCTGTTCCTTGATTTGAGGGACGACTAGGCCTGGTCCCTTTGGTCATAATTGTGCGCGATCGACTGCGACCATGGACGTTTCTTCGTTTTCTCCGTACTGTATTGTACATACCACCATTCAACTCAAGATGATCAACAGTTCGTCGACAACATGTCTGGAAACCAGGTCTTCGATCGAATTACTCGAAGTTCCTCCGTGTTCGATTACGAGTCGGACAATGGCGGCCCTTCCCTCCAGAGCAGTCCGGCTACTGACTAGGACAATATGTGGATGAGTCAGTTATCCGAGTCTCCTGACGCAGGATACGATGATCCGCAGCCCGCTTTTGTTCCTGACTCGGTCAAGTGAAGGTCGACTGCCAACGATCAAATGGGTCACCCAAGGACTCCCAACAAACTGTCCTTCTCCCGCTTGAGGTTTTCTGGAAGACGCGGTTGAGTTTAAAGCTGAGGGGTGTTTTCGTCAAAAAGCTGCCATCGACCAAGACCTTCGAAGTCCGTGGATCCGTGCCTCAGAAACTATGGGTCTCGACTGAGCAGCAGCGATCAATAACGCCTGGCCAGGCCTTGACGTCGAGGAGCTCGCTCACACCAATTCTCTTGGAGACGGTAACCAGTATTTCTCTCACCAGTGTGCTCAGCCAAGGGTGCTTAAGGCGCCGGAGCTGCAGAATGCTTGCTCTACGATTTCCAACCGTTAGAGCATCGTATCTGTTACGGGCTGGACCCGATTAGTGGATCCGGGCCTCAGCCCGGATTCTGCCACCGCTTACCGCGCTGCCTCCGCAGAGGTTCTGCTTGAGCGTTTTTCCTCCGCGAAATCCCCACTCCAAACTCCTCCTCTCTAGCTTAGATTCTATATACTGAATCACCCCTGCGTTGCTTCACGAGGGCTGGGCCCATAACAGTATCCCAAGCTGTGTTCCGTGATCCTCCTTTCCCCACGCCGGCAATCACCCAGTTCAGTCCGGGCCGCAAGTCTGGGAGGGGAATCTCCCTCAACACAAAAAGCATTACAACTCCTAGGGCGAAGCCCCTCGTTTACCATTGATACCCTACTCGGGCCGGACGTACCACGGTGAGCTACCAACGTGAATAGTGGTGTCCTTCAGTTCGGACGAAAGGCCGAGGTCAATGAGAACATCATTGCGAATGCGTTCGAAGAGACTGTTCGCTGGCTTGACGTCATTGTGCACAATACCCTGACTGTGAACATGGGCAATTGCAGTGGACATAACAGCTAGGATCGGCACCGCCTCGTCAGCCACTGAAGTGCGATTCCCAAAAGGCAGGCGGTAAGAGGAGAGATTTGGTGCCGCGACATGCTCCGTAGAGAATGACAGAAGTCTAGCATCGGCATCGTAGAGGCGTACAATGGCCGCCTATGAGATGAAAGGCCAGTCAATTCCGTTTCGAAGGCGATAGTTGTAATGCAGATAGCGCTTACTTACGTGCTGAAATAGTTTGGAATGGTTCTTGAACTCCTTCAGCCACATCTCACATATGCGTGCAATCTCAGAAGCTGATTGGTCCGGTGTACCCAAGTCCACGCGGTATGATGGCGTTCGGAGCACCTTCGCGGCAGCAACCTCAACCACACGGGAGTGCTGGGCTTTGAATACTAGTAAGTTCTTCGAGAGCATGATGCTCTCGCAATAAGTCGGAGTATAGTCGCCTCAGTCGCTGACAATTTCGGCTTTTGCGCCTGGTTTTAGTTGCTCTAGTGGGTTACGGATGTTAAGGGCGACATCCCGCGACTTCTCGACCGCTTCGTGTATCGGAACATTATCCACATTGCAAGAGACGGAGATCGCCTCGAAGGCGATGGTAGCTCTGGTGGCCCCAGGCTTGGAGCTTGAGTCTTCCAGCCTCCCCTTCTCTGTTGCCTTCAAGGGCTAAGAGGCTTCGAACCCCGTTTCGAATTCTGGCGGCTGCCAGCCCGTCCCTCAACCGCCGTGATAGCGACGCACTGGCGTGGAAGAATGGGGAAGTCCAAAAGGTGCAGGTCCTCTGCTTTCGCCAAGAAGCCTCACGACCAAGGACCCAAGAAGGTGGGTGTGCTGGGAATGAGTCTGTTTGCTGAACGTGTAATTGCCGAATTGTCGGATTGGAAGTCGAATTCGACCTCGCGGCCGCCGGCCCGCCCAGGGGCCACTTACAGACCATACTTACGATAATCGTGGCCTGTCCAACCTACGGCTGGAACCTCCCTTTTCCACCTCACGCAGAAGATCATATAGTTCAATTGACCTCTTCGTCAACCCACGGTTCGAGCCAACTACCTTGTGGTAGGGACAAGGCTTCCATTTGCAATATGTACGAGATAATACATAATTACTACGATTGTGGAAGCACCGTATGTAGAAATAAACCAAAACATGCGAATGTAGTCCTCGACAAACAAATTCTCATACTTCTTGAGTATAACTCCCGATATGTGATGCCAGCGAAAAATGGTCACAGGTGGAGGGCCTTTTTGAGTGTTTTTGTCTCTGTCGTCCGCGTGATACAATGTGCATGTTGGTTGCCTGTTCGGCCGTCTCACCCTAGCCTCTTTTTAACATGAGTTAGCCAGCACCTCTGGCCCACTAACAAAACCCCCGTTGGCGTTGCATCCGCTAATAAAACGTGATTCAGTGACAACAGGACCATCCCTTCCCCTAGTACAACAACCAGGTTGACGATTCTGTGTGGTGAGTAAGTAAGATGAAGACAGGTAAGATGATTTCAATATCCTTACAATCATCACAAACGTGCCACCGGCAGCGTTACAAATGTTTGGGCTTGGATTCAGAGACTTATTCGGCATACGACAGCCTAAAGTGCGTTGTGCGAGAGCGCCAGTCGAGCAGAACAACAGTACGAGGACGTTGAGACGCATGGTGTATCTGGTCACACGCGTGTACCGATACGTTTGTTCGTAATGGAGTGTGATAGATACCCAATGTAGTCAACCGGCGCTTGATTCAGCTTAATATATCTCTTCAGGCAATCATGGTAGGCGGTTCTCTGCGACATACTTATAGATCAGAGAAGAGATTGGTCCCCCAGCTCAGTCAAAGCAACTTGAAGCAAGACGATGTCCTACCTAGCGTTGTAATCGAGGCTGTGCAAACTTAATTCCTTTCCGGAACTTGCAGACACGGAGACTTTTAAAAACGACGCATTTCAGGCAACTCTTTGGGAAAGGTCATTCTGATAATAAATTACGACCCGAGTGTCACGAGTCAAGCCTCAATAAAGCTTCCTTAGTTATTTAGCAGATGATTGAAGTTACAAAAGCCGATTAGGTTTTGGACGAGATTACGCTAGTACGCCTGACTTATGAAAAACCCCTTTGACGGCTCCCAATAGTGGTTCCGGCCAAACATGTTACGACCCAACACACATTGCAAGACCAGGGCCTGCCCCACAGGACCGCGGCGGCTACCACACCATATATGCAGGAGTACGAACTCAGAGTGACTCCTCTCGGGACGGAAGAACTATGGACAAGTCGCGTGACCACGATCACACAATAAGATAAGGAACGGACGCGAAAAAACATCAACAAAAGCGAGAACGAAATTTTTGAAATCGGAGCCAAAACAGCGCCACAACACACTCCGAAAGGTCAATTGGATAGCCGTGTGCTCGTCGTGAAGCCCATAAGCGACGCAGGCACCATGGCAACCCCATGGCCCCAGGAGCAACTATGGCCAACGCAACATCGAGAGCATGCTACCCAACTTAACAGACACCTTCAGACAGCAGTCAAATCAATCGATACCGCAAACGGACAACCCCTCAACCCGCAAGCTGTGAGGGCCACGCTCATCGCAACCCTCTCTCTGCTTGTCAAAATGCAAAACCTACCCGAACTCGGACACCTCCACCAAGCCATCGAAAGCCTACGTGCAGAAACCAAAACAGCCAGCGAAAACACCACCCGCGACACGCGAAGCATCAGAATTGCCATGCAGCAGAACACGGTCGAACTCAAGGAAAATACCAACACAACGCGCGCGGCCAACGCGGCTGCTAAGGAGGCTTGGAAAGCCAGCGAGCTGGCGGTCAAGGTCGTGAAGGATATCAAAGCACTGGAGCCGATGAATCAGGGGAACACCGTGCAGTCATATGCTAGCGTAGCCGCCCGAGGAGGACTTGCAGGGAGCATGCATAACCCCTATAACCAGAGAGCGTCCCAGACCCAGACTCTACGTGAGATCATTGTGAACATTAGAGACCCCATCACCATTGCCAGCATAAGAGCCATGAACCCCCGTAGCCTCAAGGCGCACGTAGACCGCGCCATCGAAGAAAGCAGCAACGAGCACATTCGCAAGCTCAAGACCGTGTCCGCCAATCAACTCAAGAGCGGCGACCTGAGCGTCAAGACAGCAACGACGAAAGACATGGAGGTCCTCCGGCAATTTGCCGAGGACTGGGTAAACCACATCGGTAACGGAGCCGCGGTGCGGATCCCAACTTACGGAGTGCTAGCGCATGGCATCAGAACCAGCTCCATGAACATGGATCGCTTCACAGAAATCAGAGACGTCCTGCTGCAGGACAATAAAGCATTCATTCCCAGAGCAGACATCAAGTACGTAGGCTGGCTGACACAGTCAGCCAGCAAAAAGACGGCATCATCAGTGGTTGTGGAGCTCTCAAGGGCAGAAGACGCCAATAAACTTATTGACGAGGGACTCATCTGGCAAGGCCAGGTATTCCAATGCGAACGATATGACAGACAGTGCCGTCTGAGGCAGTGTTTCAAGTGCTGCGCATACGGCCACATAGGGACCCAGTGCAAGGCAACGACAACATGCGGTTACTGCGCGCAAGAACACGCGACCCGAGATTGCCCCGCGAAAAGCGACACGACGACCCCAAGGAAATGCGCCGCATGCTACGGCGAACACGAGGCATGGCACGGCGGATGCCCTACCAGGATCCGCGAGAAGGCCAAGATCAAGGCCGCCTACGGCCAACGGTCGAGATACCATCCAGAACAGACGGCCCCGCCGCCGGCCCTAGGACCGGAAATCCGGACCAGGCCGAACCCGAGAATCACACGGCCGCCACTGGAACCAGGACAATCCCAGGAGAATCGTCCGAGCCGGAGCCGGTCCCCAACGAAGAAGATCCAGAAGAGGCCTAACCCGACAGCAACCCAGGAATCGGAGGAGACGATTACCGTAGCTGCAGAGAATACGCGTCCGAGACGCACAATTATCCGATCGCGAAGAGCGCTCGAGGCGCTCGACCCCAACACGCAGATGGCAGACACGCAGACGATAAGCAACAGCACAGCGATGGAGATCGTTGTCGACGATAGCGAATGAACGCACAACACACACTCACAATACTACAGTACAACGTAAGAAAATCGAAGGATACCGTCATGGCGGCACTTCTCCGTGACCCGAACATCGATAATTACGACATCATTGCTATTCAGGAACCGTGGAGGAACCCCTACAGCGCAACGACGCACCATCCGGCCAAGGACTGGTTCCACCTGTGCTACCCTTCCAGCGAGGAAAGAGGCCCAGCCAGGGTCTGCTTCTTCATCAACAAGAAGCTCGACCACTCTCGATGGCAATTTAGGGAGGTCAGCAGAGATATCTGCACTCTGGTTATCGCAACAGATGACGATACCGAAACAAGCCTAGTGCTACATAATGTGTACAACCCGTCACCGCGGGAGGAAGATCGACAGCCGGTCCTACAGCAGCTACGAACAACACTGGAAACACACCAGCACGTTGAGCAAATCGTCGTCGGTGACTTCAACCTACACCATGAGCTTTGGGGAGGCAGCGATATCCGAGCGCCGGACCGCGAAGCAACCGAGCTCTTAGATCTAATGGACGACATGAACCTCACGAGTCAACTGAGAGCGGGAACCATAACGTACGAAGAAGGAGATCACCGGACAACTATCGACCTCTGTCTCGTAACTGTAGGTCTCGTTGACCGAATGATCAGATGCGAAGTAGATCACAACATCGACCATGGCTCCGATCATCTACCCATAGCGACGTCCCTGCACATAGCAGTGACCGAGCTACAGCGAGAGGAGAAGCGGAAGTGGAAAGCTGTTGATAAGGAAACATTCGTCGAGACGCTCCGGGGATCGCTGCCGCAGCTACGAAGGCCAAGAACGAAGGTAGCGCTCGACGGATATGTAGAGACAATCATAGACGCCCTCTTAGCCGCTATCAAAGCCGCGGTCCCGACTAGCACCCTTTCACCAAAGTCTAGGAGAGGCTGGAACGAGCAGTGCGCAGCCATCCTGGCCGAGACGAAACGACTCCGCCGCGATTACAGCGAGCGACAGACAGAGGAGAGCTGGGAGGCGTACAGAGAGGCACGGAATAGAAAAGGTCGCGTCATAAAGAAAGCTCTACAACAAGCACATCGCGAAGCGGTAGAAACAGCGGCCGAATCACCCAGATCGCTATGGAAGATCGCCAAATGGGCCCGGAACAGACAGAGCCAGCCGCCAACCGTCACGCCGGAAATCAAGAACCCCAACACGCCCCAGATCGCCACAACGCCTGAAGAGAAAGCAGCGCTCTTCAAGGAGACCTTCTTCCCCCCGCCGCCAGAGGCAAACCTCGAAGACATCGACAACGCATCGTACAGCAACCAGATTGGCCTGCCGCCAGTATCGGACAGTGAAGTAGAGGACGCCATCCAGGAAGCAGCACCGCTGAAAACCCCGGGCCCCGACGGCATCACGAACCTGGCACTTCAAGTGGCGAGACCATGGATCACGCCACATCTCGTCCGCATATTCAACCAGAGTCTCCGGTTAGGATATTGCCCACAACACTTCAGAAAGTTCACCACGGTGGTGCTTAGGAAGCCAGGTAAAGACAACTACACAGTGCCCAAAGCATACAGACCGATAGCCCTTCTGAATACGGTAGGCAAGATCATGGATGCCATCATAGCGAGGAGACTGAGCTACCTTGCCGAATCACATGGACTGCTGCCAGATAACCACATGGGCGGGAGAAGATGTCGGTCGACGGAACACGCACTACATCAAATCGTAGATAAAATATACGAAGCCTGGGGTTCAGGGAAGGGAATGGTGGCAAGCCTACTTCTCCTGGACGTGTCAGGCGCCTTCGATAACGTTTCGCACCGCCGACTCCTGCATAACCTAAGGAAGAGACGCATCGACGAAGCGACGGTGCGTTGGATTGCCAGTTTCCTGGGATGCCGGGAGACGGAGATCCACGTGGACGGGTTCCGGTCCGAAACTTACAAACTCGACACTGGCATCCCACAAGGCTCGCCTCTTTCGCCAATCCTCTACCTCTTCTACAACGCAGATCTCTTGGACAGCTGCAATGACACCGGAGATACGACAGCCACCGGCTTCATCGACGACGTAGCAATCCTAGCCGTGGGAAACAGCACTGAGGAAACCTGCCAGAAGCTCCAAGAAGCGCTTCGGAAAGCCGAGACGTGGGCTCTCACTCATGCGTCCGTCTTCGCGCCCGAAAAGTTCCAGCTTACACACTTCACAAGAGCGAAAACCCGAATCGACATAGGCACAACACTCCACAGCCAGTGGGGAGAAATCAAGCCTAAAACAACCTGTAAATACCTCGGTCTCACTACGGACTCAGCCCTGAAGTGGAAACAACACATCGACGAGACAGAACGCAAGGTCACGAACACCATCACAGCACTGAGCAGTCTAGGCAGCTCCACGTGGGGCGTGATGACGAGAGAGATGAGAACGATTTAGAAGGGTGTTGCAATACCACAAATGATGTACGCATGCTCGCTGTGGTCCAACAGCGGCTGGGGAGAGATGGGCTACACGAAGAGAACGTTGAACAGACTGCAGAGGCTCCAAGCCAGGGCAGCCAGGGCAATGTGCGGAGCATACAGAGCAACCTCGTTCCCAGCACTAGATGTGGAGATGCATCTTATGCCAATCGAACAACAGATATGGAAACACAACATCGACACCATCAGCAGAGTAGGCATGGCCGAAGTCACCGCACGCAGAGGAAAGAAAATGAGCCCAAGACAGACTATAACAAAACGACTACACGATGGACAAGATGTAACCAACGAACAACACGAGCACGAGCACATACCGC